GGAAAATTAATGCCGAAATAAAATGGGAATCAAATTCCTAAGTTTTCAACAAAAATTAATAGATAAAGTTCATGCATTTGCTATTAGAAAAAATATAAATACTGTATTCATGGGACAACCTTAAGTTTTATGCACCATTTTCGACATTCTTAAAATACGGAATACAGAAGAAGGAATAATCTTCTAGTCTTCATAGGCCTGTTACCAAAGCCATGTTGAAAAGAAAAAAAAACTTCTTATTAAAATTTTTTCCCTGGTCAACAACTGTTATGTAAGGTCTTTGGTCTAAACTTACCTTGCTGTGGAAAGAGGTATTTATGTATGTAAAGCATAAAAATAAGCCCTTGTCTGTATATATAATATGTCTATTGTCTAAAATCGTGGTAGGTAAAGTAAGAAATTTACTTATTGTTCTTCCTATTATGATTTGGGCTCATACTGTAAAGTTAAACAGTTCAAAGCTGAAGTCTAACACAATTTGGTTCACAAAGCTGAATATGCCGTAGTAAGAGAAAATATGAGTATTTTTAACCGAGTTCAAGAAAGAGGAGGTATTCAGTTCGACTATATGTTTTTTATGAGTGTTGCCTCATAGCTTTTCTCTGGGTGAGCCGATTTTGATAGTCCTTTTTATTTGAAAGCTGGTGCTTCAAGTGTGATCCCATGTAGATTTAATAGAGATCTGGCTAGTGGTTTTTGAGCTGTACTTAATAACGCGTATTTGATAGACTTTGAATACATTGATGATCTTATCATTTTATTTATATTGAAGTCGGTTGTGCAAAGTTTTTAATTTTGCCACTTGTATCAGTTACCTCATAATATCACTTGTATGTCACTAAAACTGTATGAAATTTAGTTAATTAGTTGTTAATTTTGAAAACTGATTAATATCCCTGCAATAAATCAAACAGCTAGTTAGATAAAGTATTTTCACAAGAAAATACATTAGTTTTTACATAGTACCAGGCATTCATCCCTTTCTCGTCCTAGAAGAAGTGGTATTGATATTGAAGGTGTTAGAAAGACAATATTTTTTATTTATTTAACTTCATATACACATTAGATGTATATAGGCGGACTTAATGCCTGAGGCATTATCTACCAGTCTACCTTAGAGTAATGCAGAGATAAAAGAGGTAGGTGTAATAAGAATTATATAGCAATAATCTTACATCCAAAACTTTTTCCGTTTTTATAAGAGGCCACTATTAATTAAGAGCATTTGAAAAGTATAAAATAATAATACAATAATACATAATGGAAAATTATATTATCTAATTTTATATATTGTGTTTATTGTTTGTTTTGTTGTAAATTGTTGATTATGATAATTTATGACAGTAAATAAGTAAAATGAAGCAATCAAATCTTTAAACATCTACATAGTATACAAACACAGAGGAGGCGTCAACGAATATAATTATTTATTCAAAGTAACTTACCTGTAAGTGTCCTTCGATCAAAATTATATCAGGTTGGCGCCTCCTCTGTGTACAACCCTACTCTGTTGTATATTATTACCCACCCTAAGGGCTTGCTTGCATTTAAATTACTTTTTTCCTAATTCTAGTATATATAAATTCACAATGACATGAGGTGTATAGTGTTGCCAGTGGGAGTTCATATAGGTTGGGATACCAGTAAAAATCTTATTTTTCCCCCGGAAGGTTAAAACTCGTGTGATTCGGTCCGTCAATTCATGACTACATAATATACAAACACAAAAGAGGCGGCAACTTCATATAAATTTGATCGAAGGACACTTACAGGTAAGTTACTTTGATCAAATAATTATTGCAATATAGACAACAGATTATTACTATATAGCAGCCCCGGATCTAGAGGGGGGGGGCAACCGGGGCACCGGCCCGGGCGGCAGTTTTAGGGGGCGCCAAAATTATATTATATTTCGAATTTAAGAAAAAGCTTGCTCCTCAAGATGTGTAGTATCCAACGCACGTTGCTCTATCAATTTTTCACTTAATGTTTTTTAATTTAAATGATTACGATCGTACTTTCAAATACCACCTAGACCCCGTAAAAAAAGGACATGTATCCTGTTTATCGAATACAAAATTAAATTATCGGTAATATAGTAAACAAAGTTCAAAATACCATTACCAATGACATCAAGGAAGCCAACTATTTCACCATCATGTTTGACTGCACTCCAGATGTCATCTCACACGGAACAAATGAGTTAGGTTGATTTAATTTATAAAAATATTAAAATCTGGACGTTAAACAAAGGAAAGTTTTATTGATTTATTTGAAGTTGATGGAAAGACTGGAGAATAAATTACACAGCGAATTCTAGAGAGACTAGAAGCTGACGGTTTAGATGTGCAAAAATGTCGTAGACGATCTTACGATAATGGATCTAGGAGTCCAATCTAGAGTTTCGCAAATAAACGAGCTGGTAAAATTTGTACCATGTCTAGCATACTGTTAAATCCAGTTATCCTATTTGTGCTCGTACATAAACTTTATTATTTCTTTGTTGGATCCACCACATGGTAGAAAAAATGCAAAAGTCTACATAAACAAACTTAAAAGGAAGTAATCAAACCTGAGGGTTGGCTAAACACCAGGATGTTACTGATCTATTAATTTACCGGAAACTGTCAAAGTTCTGGAAGAAATTGAAAAATCTTATCCAGTCGCAGAACCCAAGTATGAAACTGGTTTTCACAACATGCGGTGATGCATTTTAAATTTATCCTCTACTTAACATTTTGGGATAATATTCTTAGAGAAATCAATAGAGGTAGAGTGAACGTTGAAATACAAAAAGAGGATATTATCATTTCACATTCTGTGGCGATAACGCAAGGTCTTGTTAAGATCTTGCAAGGAATGAAAGAAAAACCAATAGAACATCGGTTCAAAGAAGCTGCACTTTTATTAGAAAAGTTGGAATTCGAGCCAGTCCTTAAAATCAAACGAATCTCCATAAAGAAACACACTAAAAAAACACAATAAAATCTGCGAGGAAGAATCAAGAACGCTATATCCAAAATTTTTAATTTCCAAAGATATAAAAATAGTGTTTGGCAAAATTTTAACAGATTTTCTTTTCTAGCATTGATTGGGTGACAAACGAGCACAAAGTCCACCTGATGGTAAGTGAATGCTGTGACCCATAGACATCCACATTTATCCTCAACTAAGGATCAAAATGCAAATGCATTGTCACCCTTGAGGATTAAGACGGAATGCAAGCGACGGGATATGAGGGTCTCCGGTTCTCTACACTCACCATTCGGAACACAGCAGCATTATGCTGCTATTTTACGCTGGTATTCTGTGAGAGCGTTGTCCTGCCTCGGTTGTGCTGACCCATTTGTGCTACAACTGCAATATAGCTGCAGCGTTGTCTACCACGAAAAGAATATAACAAGAGTAGAGAGCGCAAAGAGTCTAGATGAAAATTTTGCCTACCTTAGTGGCCACTCGTTTTAAGATAAGTCGACTGTGGATCTGCGAAAAAAATGGAGCCAATCTAGCTCAAAAATATGCGAAAGACTTGTCCAGTTGATTTTTGCGACGACATTGCCCTTTTTAGGGTTCCGTAGTCAACTAGGAACCCTTATAGTTTCGCCATGTCTGTCTGTCCGTCTGTCAGTCCTCGCTTAATCTCTGTGACCGTTAGCACTAGAAAGATGAAATTTGGTACCAATATGTGTATCAATCACGCCGACAAAGTGATAAAATAAAAATTGGAAAAAAATGTTTTATTAGGGTAGCCCCCCTATATGTAAAGTGGGAGGTGATTTTTTTTTTAATTTCAACCCTAACGTGTGATATATTGTTGGAAAGGTATTTAAAAATGAATACGGGTTTACTAAAATAATTTTTGATAATGTCAATAATTTTGGAAATAATCGCTCCAAAAGTAAAAAACAATGTGTCGTCCCCCCCCCCCTCTAACTTTTGAAGCATAAGTTTAGAAAATCTGAAAAGTAGAACTTTATAAGGACTTTCTAGGAAAATCATTTTGAACTTGGATGGAAACAACAGTACCCACTACCGGGAGCAGTTGCAGGAGCGCGGAGCGCTGCTGGAGCGCGAACATAATGGATACCCACCTTTAAACTCATAAGTGGGAACACTTATTGTGACGGACGGGAAACTACGGAACCCTACACTGAGCGTGGCCCGACACGCTCTTGGCCGGTTTTTTAAATAGCTAGTATCCGAAATTAATAAAAAATCAAGTATTTGACTTGTTATAACATCTGTACAAGCATCACTTCCTAGTAGTGTTTCCTTATGTTAGTATGCTAGTAGTATGCTAGTAGTATGTTAGTGTGTTAGTATGCTAGTAGTAGTAGCATGTAGTAGCTGCAGCAGCTTTAAGAATATACTGCACATTAATTACGACATCTGCAAGCTGTGAGCGAAGCTTCAGCTGCAAATAATTGAAATCTATCTATCTGCGTTTCACAGCGAGTCAGGAACATCTATCTGGCCTCGCGAACCTAGCCATTGAAAATAAAACTGACTTTGAGACAGACTTTTATGAGCTAATAGATTCTTTCGCAGAAAAGAAAGCATGCCGTATAAATCTGTAGGAAGATTGGAGAGAAAACGATGCTGAGACCTAAAGTTTCTAAACATCTTAATTTTGCCTCCCTCTCTCTGTTTTCTTTCCTAGTTATAGGTATGTTTTCTATATATAATTTTGTGTTACACAAACGAAAAAGTTATTAGCTAAATGCTACCCATTATGTACTTGTGAGTTTTTTTAACAAGTTATAATCAGCGTTCTCGAGAGAGGAGGCGCCACTATCAAGTTTTTGCCCCGGTTAAAAAAAATCGTAGATCCGGTACTGCTATATAGGTAATCAAAAATACACTCAAACTTGGTAACATTATAAGCACCGTTGTAAGAAATATCAGCATAACCAATAATAATAAATGGTATTATTACAAATAGTGTAGTGGGGCTATAGCCACTATAGCGGCAAAAATTAGGTTCAAAACTAGATATAGGCATGAGATTAGAGAAGTTGAAGGGTTGGATATTCATGGTAAAACAAGCACGAAAATCTTCTGACACGTGGCGACAAGACGTCAGAAGCCTGAGAGAATCGTATGTGGGTAAAAATGAAGTTTACGTGGGTAAGAATTTCAAGAATATGGTTATGGACAGAAACAGGCATTACTCTGCTGACATTGAAACATAATGGTTAAGCGCAACGCTTGACGAAATTGTTTAAAGAGAGAAACAATACCTGAAACTGGAAACTTACCTCAGCTCTCCACAGCTGAGCATGAGGAGGAGGCTCAGGGGCATGGTTCATTTTTAATTATGTGCGAACAGCTATGCAGATCTAGAAAGATTTGTATCCATAAGCCAGCGGTGCCTGAAGTATGATGAGTAGATTCCAGAGAACGAATTTAGAAATCCATTGAGTAAACTACTTTATGGCTTTCTTACCCAAGTACGCTTTTTCAAGAAAAATGTATTCCATAAAAGTGAAAAGAAATTATGCTGTGTTTTCAATGATTACACGCTCGTATCGTTTCTTGATTACTTTTTATTTAATTGATTTTAAAGTGGCAGAAAATAGTGAATTCATACGGTATAGACATATCGCCCATTAGCTGCCATAAAATTCATTTTAATAAAGTGATGAATTATTGTTCACATTTCCAGTCGCTTAATGACATAATGTGATTTAAAATAAAACAAAATATGTATGTACTTCGTTATTGCCCAATCTGCCGACCAATCACAATAGACATCGGATGAATTATTAGGCAGCCTTCGTATTATACTTTTTGGGCACGGCACTGAATTGGACAAAGGCTGGCATTGAATCCCTGACCGTGTCAATAGAGTAACGCGATACGATGGATAATTGCGTACGGTATGCAGCATGAAGGTTAGCTTTTAAGCTTAAACAATCCCTTCTGCTTGTCTTTTGTGTTCTAGTCTGCAATTTTAAAAAGTGCTTTTACTTTAAACTATATTGTACTCATTTCCATTTTTGTGTAAGTAATGACGTTTTTATCTGGTTTCACATTTGACTACTTTAGCTTTTTTTAAAGTTAGAGTGACAAATAATCTGGCAGTTTTTTACGTGGTAGAGTCACGCTGCAACTATGTATATTATGGTTGTAGCACGAATGGATGGGCTCGACCGGGGTAGGATCACGCACTTACAGAATACCAGCGTAAAAATCAGCTTAATGCTACTATATTTCGTACGATGAGTGTTGAGGACCGCGACCGGAGTCCCCATTTACTGGAAACGAGCCATCCATCTCAGTCCTCAAGGGTGACGACGCGTCTGTATTTTTATTTTTAATTGAGGATAAATGTAGATTTTTATATGCCACAGCATCCACCATCAGGTGGACTGCGTGCTCGTTTGTGACCCTATCCTATAAAGATAAAACAGTCCCAAAGTAGCTGTTGTGATAAGTATCTATATTATAACAACTACTTCGGAACTATTATACAGAATAACAATGCACAGCTAAACATAGGCCTCCTCCAACTGCCTTCCAGCATAGTCTAAATTCCTGCAACCATCAACTCACCGCACTTCTTTCCAGTTTATCACTACATCTAGTGGGGGGCACCCTAAATCACACTTGACGTTTCATGGATGCTATTCTAAATCCGATCTCTTTCATTTCTGTGTCAGGTCTACTGGTTTATCAAGCTAGGACGGATTTATCCGCCACAAATTCTATTACGCAAACAATCTTAATCTAATCAATCTTAAATCTTGCCTAAATTTAATTAAGGTTAAAGGTCAAGTAATTAGTTTATATGTAAACATGTTTTTTAAAAGTGGCAATAAAGCGATATTTATTTATTTATTTACCCATCCATTGACGCTATTTAATTTATTGTTTCCATTTTTATACGTTTTAAAGCTCAGGCTTTACCACTAGTAGCAGCAGAAAGTTGTGAAACTTATTAGCAAAGAGCGGAAGACCGCTTACACAATCGAAAGATGCCAACGTAAATTGTATGCAATAAAAAGGACACACAAAATGTATAATTTATTAAAGTGTAGTGCTTTAAGAAAAAGATAATCTTTTTTTCTAAAGCACGTAACGATTTGATCATTTTCTTTGAAATGGTTCTTCACGTTGTAACTGCTTAAGGAACTTGCATTATTTGGGCAGATGCGACGTTCGTTCTTCAAGTATCCTCATTTTTCTCTCAAAAATCCCAGATATAACGCGAGGCACGTTACATGGGCTCTTCGGGAGGGATTGAAAGCTTTGAGATATTTTCTTTTCTAAGTATGTCACGTGTTGGAGCATTTTATTATCTTTGCTTGTGTCTTATTACATACGCAGGTCGAGTTTTTAGATAATGTTTGGGCGATTATTGCATTCAATTACAAATACCAGATTTATAATAAACCGAAATTTGTAAATAACTGTCATTATGAAATTAAATTTATGTTTCTGTACATTAAACAATGCTTTCTTATTTTTATTTGCTAATTGACACCAATAGCAAATTCTTCAATATTTTTTCTTTTTCTTCTTCGTGGGTATCTCCCGTTTCATTGATGATTGATCTGGATCATCACGCTTGGCAAGCGAACTGATGTTCGCTATACCAAATACAAATATATCTTGCACTTTTGAAGCTGTTGCTTGTTTTTGGTTTGGATATTTTACGTCCGCCATAAGCAAAATATTCTACCGGGACCTATAAGATCCCATGCAGAATTTTAAAAGTGCAATTTTGCTTAAAACTTTGTTTAAAGATCTGTTTAAAGTTTTAACTCTCGCATTAAACTGTTAAATTGTTTTAGATAGATGATAGCATTGATAAAGGTTGTATTATGAAAACTGTATTTAGTGTTTTAAGATTGTAATGAAATTTGTATTTAGAGTGTGTAAGGGCTATGACCACACAGAAGAGGAAGAATGCAGATTTTTCTGGCATTTCGCATAGTTGCACTCACGGGACGAGATGAAACGGTGGACGGTGTTTTCTTACTCCGCAACTAAACGGCAATCAGTTGCCATTGGGTGCGTTTGGCAGAAAAAAGCGCTAGCAAGCGCTTGTAAGCAAAATGGCGATCGTGAGCGGTAAGCGCTGTCAAATCGTAAGTAGCTATTTTCCTCCAGGACACGATGTTAGTTTTAACCGGGGAACCTAACCTAATTTAAATATATGTTTGTAAAGTATTCATATTAAAAACTTACCAATCATGAATTTTTAATAACATGTATATGTTTATTCATGTCATTATATTACTTAAAACTAATATTGCACAAAACAACTTATAAACTCTACTTCAAAACAAACAAATTAAATAAGCAAAATGGCGGACACACAGCGCTACTGAAGTAGCAATCGTGTCCTGGCCGAAAATTATTTCAGCGCTTATAAGCGCTTGCTAGCGCTTGTTTCTGCCAAACGCACCCATTGTTACATTACTACATCATATAATTTTAGTTAAACTATATTTTTATTATTTAAAAATTTTCAAAGTGAATGTTAACAACATACATAGTCCAGGAGAAATCGGCTTATGAGTACCGAAAACTATTCCATCTCAACTCTTTATGCGATTCTCTTCGAAATGTCCCATTGATAATATAAATGCACGTTGCGATGGGGCAACTCGGTGCCATACTGTTTAAAACCAATTTTTTTTTTCGAAAACCTTAAATTCGGATACTTTGACCCATTAAAAATACAGAAAGAAAAATAATAAAATATAAAAAAAAATATTTTTATATTTTTTTGATGAAATACAAATAAAAATGTCCTATAACCATTGACTTATATATTACTTTTGCCTATAACATTTTACGATAAAGTTTTATCGGAGCCATGAATTTTTAGGTTTAAAAAATCCCGAATTCGGATACTTTTCACTTATTAAAAATACACAAAGAAAAAGAACAAAATAAATATATGAAAATTATTCCTTGCAATTGAAAAAAATCGGTTTAAACAATATGGCACCGAGTTGCCTCATGGCAACATGCATTTATATCATCAGAAGAGAATCGCAAAAAAAAATTGAGGAGGAATAGTTTTCGGTACTCATGCACCGATTCCTCGAAATCGAAATGTTTTTCGATGTTTTTATTATTACCTAGAATGACTTAGACGTTATTTTGTCTTGAACTATACCTACCTACTACCATTAGTTTTAATAAGACTTGTATTTACTGGAGGCAACTATTACATAACACAAACAGACCATGTTTTACCATTATGTCAAATTTCGTTTTTACATTAAAAAACTTGTAACTTACAGTTTTTCTGATTTATTGTCCATATAGTAATTTTTATTAGAACAATTTTCAAGAAAAAGTTTATAGTGCAGTTTCGTAATAGCTTCGAAGTTATAGGTCTATATTTTATGAGGGAATGTAACATTTCGTTTGAATTATTCATTAACGGCGAGCGTCACAGTCGCAATGAATTCTACGAAGAGCTCATATCGCATGGCTGGAACGTGACACAAATCCACAGCTCAATAAGCGCGATGACGGACGAGATGTGGTTATCAGGCTCCTGTCTGCCTCCATGACACATAGCATTCATTTTGGCAAACTGCTTCACGTAAATCAGCATAAAATGAATTTTTCAAGGCTTTCTCAGCCTACCTTGTACTGTCTCGACTAAGCTAGTTTTTTTTTTGTTTCATTAAATTTGAAATTAATTTAATGACTAAACTTTGTAGTCATGCGCTCTGCTCTAGTTTAAATTAACGCGCTACATTTAATATGGATCAGTATTGACATTGAGCAAAAATGAATTGTATATTTCAAAATGTGTTTTAAGATTTATGAACATCAAGTGAGGTTTGTATTATGATTGTTGTTGGTTGGCTTGGCGTCAGAATGGAACACGAATGGGTAAGCTCGACCAGGGAAGGACCACACTCTCTGTTTGGTAGATATAAATAACCGGAGACCCTTTTTACTGGAAACGAGGCATTCCATCTTAATCTTCAATGATGACAACACATATAAATTTTAATTCTTAATCAAGGATAGACGTAGATGTTTAAACAGTGTGCTCATTTTTACCCTTATTCTGTAAAAAAAACTTTTTTACTCGAAACGAAGCATTCCATCTTAGACGATAAACGTCATATCGTATCCGCATTCTGACTCCCAAGCGAGGATAGACGTAGGTCAGATGGACTGTGTGCTCGTTTCTTAAGGGTGACAAACGAGCACACAGTCTAATTATATGCATATTATATTCTATATTAAAAATATTGTATTGCGTCGGTACCTATAACATCTATGAGTAAAATATTACAATATAATTTTTTTTACAGGAACCGTGATTGCAGTTGAAGTCCACTTTGAAAATAAGGACAGCGGGTTCTTTATAAAACATACAGCGAGGTGGAACGGCGCTGGACCACCGCCTGAGCCTGTTGGTACCGCATTACCGGGGGCATTGCTATCACTTGACCGGTTCACTGTGCTCCAAGGATCAGCTCCAGCCTCGGTCCGTGCGACATACGGCCCATTTTCGACGAAGCAAACCGTACCGGCACGCTATGCAGTACCCGATCCTCTGGAACCGCCGCGGAGGAATGCAACATTACTGGAGCTCCAAGACGCCACAGCGCATAGACTTGACGTTTCCGCTCACTTAGTGTTTCGTGAGCTTCCCCGTGATGCTCCCGTTCTACGGGTACTCTTCCATACTGGTGGAGAAGGAGGAACACGTCGCGCTGCAACACGGCCTAGACGTGTTTGCATAACGCTCCATGCGAGTCTTGCTTCTAAAACACTAACTGCATCTTGTGGACCTGAAGGTGAAGAAGGTGCTTGCTTAGCTGAACTCACGGTTCCCGCTGCTTGGTGGCCGGCAGATGGAAAAGGAAAACGACCGCCGAGGAATATACGATTGGCATACAGTGCAGCAGAGGCTAGTAGTGGAGAGAGCACAGAAGGTGTTTGTGGAAGAGTCTCTGTTCAACCAGCCTGGCCTTTGGGCACTGTAACTCTAGCTGGTGCACGTGCCGGATATCGTGAAGCACGAGCCGGTGACTCTGCACTCCTTTTACCACGTGCGCCTCTTTACCCTCATTCCCGATTACATCTGCCATTTGTTATACGTCGGGATGCAAGTCACTCCATTGGACATGTTGTTATACGGTGAGTATTCTTAATATTTGTAAATTCAATCGGAATAAGGAATGAACCCTTTATACTGAAATTCTCTATAAAAAAAAACATGTGTAAAAAATGTATAATGGCTCAGCAGCATTTAGGTACAGAGCTGCGAGGCCGCGGATTCTATTCCCGCACGTGAAAAAAAAATGTACCTACAAATAATGTATTCGGTTCTGGATCTTGTGAAGTTTATGTATATTTACGCCGCCACGAACTGAAGTTTGCACTTGTAAACGTAAAATTATTTAAAGAGAAAAATTATACGTGGTAGAGCCATGCTGTAGTTATATTGGAAGTATAGTTGTAGCACGAATTGGTCGGCTCAACCGGGGAAGTACCACGCTCTCACAGAATACCAGCGTGAAATAGTAGCTTAATGCTACGTTAAGAGTAGAGAACCGGTGACCATTTTTTACTGGAAACGAGGCATTCCATCTTAGTCCTCACTGTTGACAACGCATGTGCATTTTGATTCGTAATCGAGGATAGATGTAGATGTATATGGGCCACAGCAACCACTTACCATCAGGTGGACTGTGTGCTCGTTTGTCACCATACCCTACAAAAAAAAATTTCGTCTTCACATTTGCAATCACAATCGCAAAGATTGTTAGAGTTCTGTTAATGCACCTTTTTATTTATGTATTTAAAAGATCTCTAAAGCGTCTGTAATAAATGATTGGACCGTTAGAAAATATATAATATCACAAAACATCTTTAAGATTTTTTTCTTACGTAATCATAATCTTACAATAAATGAAAACAACTTTTTTTTTCTTCCGAATCAAAACAGTTGTCATTAGAATCAAATAATTTGGATAAAGCAATCGTAGTTGGTGACGCTGCATCACAACTTCACAAGTGCTCTTGAATCTTGAGATGACAGCAGCGATTCCCACATATAGCGAATGCTGTCTCCTAACATGTCTCTCGGGTTAATATAAACAATTTGTCTATTTTATTCATGCACCAGGCACCTATTTAAACGCACGCCCGCACAATTTGAGTGGCTTATTGTTTGTGCAAAGCCCTTTACGGTGTCATGTGGGAGTGGTCATTAAATAATAACGTAGCACCACCGTCAAATGACATCGACGTGAAAAGGAATTCTGTTAAGCAATGATGATAATGGCTCTTTAAACCCGCTCTGCAACTTTTAACTACCAGTGAATTAAAAATGTATGCGGCACCTGGGGCCTTTTCATTTATGGTGCTATGAACTATTGGAATATTCACAAGCACTTGACGCTTTGCACCCGATGTGCTGGTTTACTTTACAGTTTCATGAAATAATTTCTGACAAGTTTTATAAAATATTGATTTATTTTAATTATTTCTACTTATTTTATTAACAAAAAATATGTATAAAATAAATACAGCTTTGAGTTGGAAAAAACGATACGGAATGAATATTAATTAAAAATAATTCTTTAAGACTTTATTAATGATCCTCAGCATTCCATTACAGCATATAAAGTTCACTGGTGAGCGTAGACCGCCCCATAAGTTGACCCCTCCTAATATTATATAAATATGAAAATTTGTTTTTGGTTTATTTCACGCAGCAACGCAACGGGGCAACGGAGCGACATGTTTGTTTTGTTTATAGATAATTTATGGGCTGGAAATTGATGTAGGCTCCTTTCATTCCATAAAAATGCACGGTTTCTGTGAAATGGATATAGGAGGACGTAATTCTGTACCTCTTAATGCTCTCCTTAGGTTTTGGAATAACACATTGGCTGTGATATTTCGAAGTTATATCGTTTTCCAAGCTTCAAACTATCGAAGCCGCGGGAACGCAAACATTAAGATCATAAATATGAGATCATAATACGATAGATGAATAGTGTTAACCGAAAGATCAGAACGAAGAAGAGGAGTCGATTTTAAAAATAAAATTTATATCTCATTGACACGTTTTTTTAAATGACTTGAGCTATAAAATGTGCCAAATCAATTGAGAAAAACGGACAATGACCTTTCGGTCGTTTAACCAGGGGTTACAAACCTTCAATATATAAGGCACTTTTTTATATGTAGTACTTTCTTTCTTTATAATGATTGTTTATTATTTTTTATAATGATTGATATAATATATATTTATTAACTATTAATAAAAAGTTATGTAAAATATCGCTGTAGAAGAAAAACCATCTATTGTTAAAAATTCTTTATTCATTTAACAACAAAATGCATTAATTTATAACACATATAAAGATTCGAGTGATAACGACACCGAATAAGTACGTACTTATTCAAAAAATAAAACTTTATTTTTAATATTATATAAGAACTTTATTTTTATTCGGTGCATGCGGACCGGTCCAAAAAAATTGACGTATCTCTGGCTTCCATTGTCACGTTTCTTTTAGAACGAACTGACGTAACGCGCGTTTTGTTTATTTAGAGGGATGAATTTTTGTGTTACTTACGGTACCCTTTTTTACCATACATTTTTTCGCGATGTACCGTAAGATTTTACGGTGTTTATAGGAACCACTGACAATATTATTTAGGAAATAAAAAAACAAAATACATGTGCTGACCTAGAAGTGTGAATAATATCAATATTTAAATATTGTTTTCACATCTAAATTAAGATTTTGTAAGTTACGCCTTTTGACACTCGGCTCATATCTGAGGTCATTGTCCGTTTTTCTCAATCGATTTGGCACATACTATTAATAAATGGGCCGGATAAATATATATCCGTTGCATCTCTGATGTATTTTTTTTTAGAAAACACGATCATAAATAAGTTAGTTACCTAAGTTAAAACAGACTAAATTTATAAACATTTTTATAGAATGAAGGTGAAGTCAGGATTGAAGCTGGTTAGTGTGTCGGCGGCCAACTCTCACTGGGCGGTCACAGCGGAAGTAAAACCACGGGCGGCCACCGTCACCGCTACACGTCTCGAACAACCCCTACGCGACGATGATCTACTCGACACGTGAGTATATTTATGACTGTTTAATAATAATTATATAATGCAAACCTTTGAGAAAATGTAAGAAATATGAACATTGACAATATTTAACATACAAAATTTTTCTCAATGTTCAATATTAGTCAACAATTTTTTTTTGATTTGTTTTTATGTTGAGTCAAAATTATCGAGATCCTGATACGTGTAGGATTTTTTGTAGGTTAAAAGGATTAACCAGTGCGACCAATTGTTATACTTTAGTCTGCTTGCACATTTTTTGTTTTTAACGTGATGGAGCTATGCTGCAGCTATATTGTGGTTGCAGCACGAATTGGTCGGCTCAAAGGACCACGCTCTCACAGAATACCAGCGTAAAATAGCAGTTTAATGGTGCTGTGTTTCGTATGGGTCGAGTGTAGAGAACCGGTGAACCTTTTTACTGGAAATAAGGCATTTCATCTCAGTACTCAAGGCTGGCAACGCATCTGCATTTTGATTTTAATGGAAGATAAATGTAGATAGATGTCTATGGAACACGGAATTCATTTAACATCAGGTGGACTATGTGCTCATTTGTCACCCTTATACTATAAAAAAAAGACAATGAACTCCTTATTACAGAAAGTAGATTTCAATTAGTTTCACGTTTAAAATAGTGTTAAAATAAGGAAGTCCCGTGCAAAATATGCGAATCGTATGTAGGTATGTAATTACTAGAGATGGGCCGATTATTCGTTTTATATTCGGTTATCGGCGTATTCGGCAGCTTTACCGAATATTCGAATTCGGCCAAATATTCGGCTAAATCACCGAATATTCGGTTTCATAGTGTCCAATGTATTGAAAAAGGTACAAATTGAGTAATGCGATGTCTTTTACTGTTAAAAGTATATTTTATTTATGGGTTAAATCTACTTACTCTAGAGTGCCTCAAATGCATAAATCTGCACATTTATGTTTTTGAGGCACTGTAGATTTATTTATAGATTATAGCAAATAGAAACTTGATAAAATGTTTTTGGAATCAAACAAAGACACATTACATTACATTAATACATTTCACTTTACTTTGGTCGTCAGCTCCTCTAAAATAAGTCCAAATAGTAAATCTCCTGCTGCACATTTTTGTCATATAATTATCAATTTTCACTAAGAATAAAACAGCGAAATACTTTTTTATCACAAGGATAGTCAAAACATAAGCATGTGCCGGCAATTTGCTCTGTACTTGATGATGCAATAACTGTCAGGTGTGGCGGGGAGCAAGAGGCAGGGTCCGGCGCTAATCCCGCGCGCTTTACTGTAACAAGTTTCGATATAAATTGGTTGGGCCCCGAGGTTATCCTGCCGAATAATGTTCGGCCGAATATTCGGTTCAGTAAAAATTTTACCGAACATTCGGCCGTATATTCGTATTCGGTAAAATCCATATTCGGCCCATCCCTAGTAATTACTATAAGATGCGAACTAAATTGTTACGTATCAAAGGAGACGGTCCAAATTTGTATGAAGCGTAGGCCTGGTTTTGTACAAGTAGGGAAACAAATCAAAATAATATACTATACCACTTTTGGTCATTCAAATCCACGAATATGCCTTTAGTTCAGTGGTATTAATATTTTATTCTTACCAAAAACTGCAACACTAATGGCAAAGAAAATATACACTACGCGAATGCTAATGGCGAATTGATGTCGTTTTGACATTAGCTGTCAACATGAGTATATTGATGCCTAGTGATTTAAAATGTGATTCTACAGATGTCCGATATCAATGAAATCAAAATCTCACGTAAATCATGAAGTCCATAAAACAAAAGCCGAGTCAAACAAGTAATAACAGATCCAAAGTCCAAATAAAAAACGAATCTCCAAAGAAATCCAAAAGAAACAATAAACACATTTACGAGTTCACAACTTCACGAAGAAGCTCGGAATAAAAGAAATATCACACTACCTACGTTATTTCATGACTCAAGTCACTTTTCAGACATGACATTTGAAATATAATTTTGTGACTAAAAGGGCGCCATATTGTAAAATTATCAACAATTGGGATTTCATTTTTATTTTTAGCAATTCATTTAGTTGGATCTATTCTCTTAATTTATTTTTAAAAACTTATGAAAAAGACTTCTTTAATCATAGTTTAAACCAGACTCTAAATGAACCTTGTAATAAGAAGGTAATGGTGCAAATCTAGCATTCACTTGGCATTTTTTTATTTCCGATTCCGTACCGAATTTATCTTGATCGACGATCGGCGATTGATAGAAATGAATTTTTCATTAAAAACACTAGAATAAATTTCTGAAAAATGTATACCAATATTTCTAAGGTCATGAGTTATTTAGAATTCTGCTGTCATAACGGGAACACTGAAACCTATTATACCCGGAAAACCTATTATTCTGTTTTGTCCGTCGGTGGTCTATCCTATGGTATGTATAAGGATTAAGAGATAATACCAGGATAACATTCCAGGGTTTTTGGATATATTATCCTAAAACCCTGGAACGTTATCCCGATATCGAGATAAATATTTATTATATTATTTCGATATAGGTCTCAATTTTAAGAATACGAATACTTTCCCTACGTGTAAGCATTTTATGGACTTTCTACATAATATGTATATCGAGTGAGGTATCCTAAGAGATCTATTTTTAAGCATAGTTTTTAGGTTCCAGTCACTAAGTATTTAAGATTGATTTCAAATTGCATAATCTATACTCATCATTTGGTTATTAGAATGAACGAATCAATATGGAACGCATACTTGACTATTATAATATGAATAAATCTTTATTTTAATTCCATATAAATTAATCCTACGGCTTTCAAGCAAATACATTATTGATGTGGATCATGCAGTTCGTTCTATTTAAGGTGGCATTAAATGCAGTCTAATTTATGTAACTGACGATGGTACATTTTTCACTATTGAATATGATCAAATCACTAGCAACAATAGCACAATAAATTGTGAATTTATATTCTGCAAGCCATGTCTGAATTTTTTGTTTTGCATAATGGGAGTTTGCATACACAATAGATCGGAATGCGATCCGATTCGGTTTGGCTAACCTTATTGCATCCGTGGCTACACCATGATTGGCTTGCTTTCAGTGCAAATTTAAAGGACCTACTCCGTTTCTATTTTCTCAAACCTTACGTGTTCCTATTTGAATTTCACGTTGTCCTAGTAAGTGGGTCGACTGTCCGGGGAAATAAACGATCCAGACTCGGTTAGAAAATAACTAAATTTAAGCGAAATGCAATTTAGTTTATGGGCGACATTATACAAAGCGGTTTAAAATAAATTGTTGTGAATTTAGCTTTTAACTTTTAACTCTACACATAAAATATATTAACCACTGGTAATAATAATTAATGAATGTTTATTATTATTAAAAAATATAGAATGTGAGTGACAAACGAGCACACGGTCCACCTGTGAGTGGATGCTGTCGCCCATAGACATCTACATTTATCCTCGATTAAGAATCAAAATGCAGATGCGTTGTCACTACTAAGGCCCGAGGACTAAGACGAAATGCCTCGTTTCGAGTAAAATGGGTCTCTGGTTCTCTACACTTACTCTACGAAACTCAGCTCAACAACCAAACTCCCAAAAAAGTTTTCATTTTCTCTTTATATTAAATTTGTTAACATACATTCGTACAGAGATATCGAAGAAAGCGGTGGGGCGGGAGGACCTGGTTGGGAAGAAATACTGACTTGGTTGGTCGAAGTAGGAGCTGAAGGTGAAGGGGACGCAGAAGGTTCAGAAGGGGAATCAGGGCGTGGCACAGCACGTTTAAGTTGGACGGCGAAGGTTTCTTCTGCGCCTAATTCTGGATCAACAACGGAAGAAACTCCTCATGAGCACAGAGTCAACACAAGACTTGACATCGAAAAGGATGACATTCAAGCTGTTCTGCCAATTTCCAAGGTCACTTGAATAATAATCACAATCAATACTTCCATTAATATAATATAAACTTAAAGTTATGAATGTAATTTATAACTCTAATCGTATTACAGATATAATTTTAAACTAACGCCACATTAAAAACTTAATTAACACGGCTTAAACCCGAATTCAGCCCGAATTTTTTGAATTCGTAACAATAAATTAGCCAGAAGTATATTTCTAGTAATTAATGGACCGAAAGAAGCTTTAATTGATGGAACGATATTGTATTAACTTTTAGAAATTTTGGTGCAGAGTCGTTATTATGTACGTACTAAAATGTTGTTGTAAAGAAAATAAATGTCAAATAGTTAATACCAATACTCGAATGTTTTATACGTGGATAGATCTCTAGGAATGCAGATCAGAGATTAACGTCTACGATTTTAATTAAAATTATCGGAAATATTATCGGAGCCGTGGTAGCTTAGATGGTTAACGCTTGTTGTAAATATAACAGAACGCGAGTAACCCGGGTTCGATCCCCGCCGGCACCATTGAAATTGTTAATTGCAATTTTAAGTGCTGATTTACTACGTGCTCGGCGGTGAAGGAAAACATCGTGAGGAAACCTGCGTGTCAGAGGAATAAGAAAAAAAAATTTCGAAGACATGTGAAGTTCGCCAACACGCATTGGGGCAGCGCGGCGGACACTTCCTTGCCCTAAAAACCTTCTCAGAAATGAGGGGCGGCCTGTGCCCAGCAGTGGGACGTATATATGCTGTAACTTTACTTTACTTTACTATCAGAAAAAAGTGATATTCTGTAAGTGTCATGGACAATTTACAAAAATATTTATTACTTTCTTTTAGAATCTTTATCCTATGCAATATTAAAGTTACACAATATTGTAAAATAAATATTAATGCCAAATATTAATGTTAAACAAGGGATAAAGACAATCTTCATTAGCACATAAAAGTTCAAGGCAGGATTTTTTTTTATTAAACTGAAGCGACACGAACATACAAGTACATATACAGTCCAACTAAAGATAAGTGGCTACTGTGTGACTAATGGAATGGCTCACACCATGTAATGATACTGACACTACAAACCCTTCAGACCGTAACACAGTAGTGCACGAACTGCTGTTTTGCGACAGAAATAATTAAGAGTTTGGTACCCAGACAGACTCCTCAGCAAAAAAGGATACCTACATGAATTTCTTATATTTTCGCGAACACTACACATTTGAATAATACTAGTTTTTACGGATGTTATCGTGTATATTAACTTTTTATATATACCCGACGTTTCGAGCACTTTACAGCACCCATGGTCACGGGAGGGACTGAGATGTTCAACGTCCAGATGTCATAGTTAACCGCGGTTACCATAGATTATTTTTTTTTTTGGAAACACGGCAAAGGAAATATACTGTAATAAGTACGACGCATCATGGCGAAAATTAGTCATTTGAACTAAATACTCTTATTGTATAGAAGCGTAATTTAGTAACGAGACTAATTCTAATAAAATTTTTAGAAAATTAGACATATAGTTCTTACAAATAACATTTAGAAAAGAATTGTTCTGAGAGGTCTACAAGGTGACATTGTGAGAATCCGATCGGATTCGTCGAGCTTTTACAAGTATAACCGCGGTTAACTATGACATCTGGACGTTCAACGCCTCAGTCCCCCCGTGACCATGGGTGCTGTAAAGTGCTCTAAACGTCGAGTATATATAAAAAAGTTATTATACTCGATAAAATCCGTTAAAACTAGTATTATTTAAAGGATTCCTACCACCTAACAATCTAAACTAATCTACACTTTATTAGCAACTACAGTTTTTGACAAGCCAAACGTTTACTTAAGTAAAAACTGAATTTCCTTGAAAATCATTTTAATATTTTGATATTGAATCAATTTATATATCCTTTAAGGCTAAGTACTTTGAGAGCGAAAATGAAGTCATTTGATAACACGTGTGGCCTTTTTCAATTATTGCCGATGACGACGTAATGAAGTTACTGAATAACGTTTGTGAAGCTGTTTATCTTGCGTCCGTAGAAGCCATTAACCCGGGCCGAACCGAGCCAATCTGCCAACTGATTGATGTACGTCAGTTCCCGTATATCTCTAACAGCCGATTAAAGCAATTGGTTTTGATGATTGAAATGGCTGTTATCGCGTGTTCCTAATTAATGCTCCATCTCGAATTAGTTACAACAAAATTCGATGTACCACCTACATACGACGATAGCAATCTATTAAAATGAAATGCTCTGCTAATTTCTTCAACTACTTTTGTTATTGGAATATTACATGTTTTTTTAAGGATGTTCCAGAAAATAAACCGTTTCATAAATTTGTAATTTCTCATCCGGTACTTTTTTTAGGACACGACACTAACGACATGCGGCTCACCTGATGGTCCTGTTAGTTTTTTTATCTAGGTTCTTTTTTCTTACCCCGAAGTAACAGCGCACAGAGTGATACGCCTCCATAACTAAAACATATAGTAGTAAACATATTCTCGGTTTGAAGTTGGATCTGTCTTGCAAAAGCTTTTTATCATCAAATTATTATAGTATGTTTTAATGATTATTTACAAGATATATTACAAAATGCGGCATACTTATTAATTAAATACTTGTTCATTATTAAAAAAAAATAACTATAGATGAAGCTTTGTAATTACGTGCATATTACTTTCCAATTGTACATTAATTCGTAAATGTTTTAACACAGTATTTACATAATCCTCGAAGCTATTGTTGGAAAATTCAAAACAGTACAAATAAATTAGGGGCCGACGCCATATTTACGTGCACGCCACATTTTTACTCACGGAATATTTCGTGCAATGTTTAGAACTGGGAGGTGCTTAACACGGCAGTACTAACGGGACGTCAGGTCTCGCAGGCGATGAAAGTGCTGATAGTGTCGCAGGCTGGCCAGGTCGCTGACGTCACTTTACAGAGTTCTTGCCACTCTGAAGACGAGAGTGTGCTCAAAGTAAGTGATTTTCCTCCCTTTCAATAATACTTGATGAAACTGAGTATTCGCTATTTCTTAAATAAGATCAACGAACACCTTATCAAGTACCTCTTGAATCAATAGTCGTAAAAATATATTGTTAGTACATAAACAGGCTTATGGCGGAGAGTTCCATAATCATTAATTTTATATTTTAGCAATTACGAATCTTACTTTCGCGGGAATGCGATCATCATCGTCATGATAATTAGCATCATAATCATCGATATTACCATCATACTTATCATCACCACCATAATTATCATCATTATCACAGCTTATCACAAGTCCACTGCTGAAAAAGGACTTCCACAAGGAACGCCGCAAAAATCTTGACTCACCCGCTTCCATCGACTAACTACATGTCTTACCAAGTCGACTTCGTCTAGTAGGCAGGAGACCGCCCTACATTTCACCGCCCACATCCACCGGAACGAGATTGCTACTCGAGAACCTCTCTTCTCCATCGGTTGTAGGTTTTCGAACTACGTCCGGCCGGCGTTACTTCAGCATACTGATCCGTTGGACTATGTCAATTACTTTAATTCTACTTCAGATATCTTAATTACGAATTCTATACAAGCACAGAAACCACTCGCTCTGTCCACAGCTTGCTGAGCGACCTTGAGCTTCCGTTTTAATATTTGAGGTATTGGTGACGAGAAGAAAAAGCGTAATCTCTGGGTCGAGATCGGACTAGCCTAGTCGGATAATTTGTCCTAGGTACACGTCTATAACTTGAAGCTTGGTGTTCATACCTGATAACTTGAAGCGTAGTGGCTTAGCTGTGACATAGACGCTTTACATATAAGACCTATGCCTGGTCCCTGTTCATTTTAAGACCTATCCGTTGGGAGAACTATTAAGATAATTGAGCATAGTGCCTGGGAGCCATAGTGGGGTCATCCAGCGATTTTGCCATAATGACTATATCGCCGGCAAATCGAAGGTGAATGATGTACCCGCCATTGATGTTGATACCGTATCCTTTCTAGTCCAGTAGTTTGAAAACGTCTTCCATTAAAACAGTAAACTAGTCCAGTAGTTTGAAAACGTCTTCCATTAAAACAGTAAAGAGTTTCAGGTATATAATGTCAACTTGTTTTACACATTTCTGCAATAAGATAAGTTTTACACTCTGGTTCTGTAGTCGCCATCATAGACTTTCTGTAGAAACACTTCAGCGCTACGACATACCGATAATCAACCTGGCACCAATGAATGGACTGCAGTACCGCCCAATATTCGACAGAATCTAAGGCTTTCTCATAGTCCATATTCGCTTGACAAATTGACATATTTCATTTTTAGGTCTTCTGTACAGTTCGCCGAAGGCTATGTATGATTAACGGCAGGCCAAATGTTGTTAAGCCTCCGCAGTCAGTCTTCAAGTAAGACAAGTGGCTCTCTCTGACAGACAGATCCATCATTGACAGACAGATGATCATTCCTAGTTGAGTACCTACTTAAATTTCGCCGAATGCATTTAAAAATCTATCCGATCAATTGATTGTACGCTATCAATCAAATCTGTTGACTACTGCCGTTTCATTTTCCCGTTAACAGCTATGACATTAAGAATGTGGTTAAATAATTTTTGGATTCTTCTGGGAAGTGTCTTGAAAACCTTGACAAATTCGATAGAGAGAAAAAATTGTCAAGGTCAAAGTCAAATTGCTAAAATACAAGCCGCACTTTAACTAAATAAATATATGATTTTCATACACATTAATGTCTACATAAAGTACAATTATTCTGTGGTTGAATCATTTGCATTCATATTATAAAGGCTTAAGTACCAATAAAATTATTTTCCTATTTACTTAACGCTTTTGGTATCTCGCCTGATGGCTCCAAGCTTCTTAAGAGGGTAGTAAATCTTTACGTACAGCGATTTGCGCTCTTTCTGCCGTTTAAAGATAACAAGTGAAATACATTTCGTAGTTTACTGTTTATCGACTGTGTAACTAAAACTTCATAATTTTGAACTTTACTTTATGTTCAGGTTTCCTCATCGTGTAGTTCAGTGTACGTGGATGGATCCGAGATCCGAGGCTCATCGAACGCATCCGTAATTGTCAAATACGGCACTTACACGGGACTGGCGCGTTTCACCGTTTGGATGCCAGAGTACCCACTTGAAATCGACGTAGACGACAACCGCCTCTCGCAAATCAAAGGTATGACACTGAGTGCGTCGAATGTTTGCGAAGCACTCGTAGCTTCCCTATGCCGCGTAATCACTTCAAATATTACCGTATAGTGTTTTCATTACATTTATGTAAAACTCTATTTATTTTTTATCAAGCACATAATATTTATTTATACCAAGATACAACCGGATCATCACCTGGATATTACGATTCGAGTAATTAAAACCTTTACAAATACGTTTAAGATAAAATGTTATTTATAATCCGTTTAATTTTTAAGAAAAAAAATTATAATGTAAAAGACAAAAGAATAAGTAGTAATAGAAACTCCGACAGACAATACAGCAAAATCCATTTTGTAAGAAATATTGTAGAGATCATAGAATACTATAATACACAATAGAGTGGCTGTCAACCTTCAATATATACCTATGTATTATTGTATTCTATGGTAGAGATACAAAAAACGACGACGACGCTAAGTCACAGTGTACACAAGAATAATAGCCCCGCCTTCAGAATTTGAAATTATTTTTATTTCTTTCAATTCGGCTTTTAATTTTTATTATAATTTATTTTTATATTGATAATTCGCAGGTTGGAAAGTATCAGACGACGCGAACGCAAAGGACAGATTGAAACGTTCACTTTCGGCACGGGGTTGGGGAGGCGCACGGCCAGATGGCACCAATTCCTTGACCGACCAACGATCTTGTCGTTTGAGATATCAACAAAGCAACGTTGAGGTTTGTACAGAAACTGTCTTTCTGTTTTATTCTTCGATTAGGATAACGAAATGCTAGTCGCGGTAGTAGATATTTACTTTTATGTCGTGTTAAAAGGTAGGCTTTATTTACATTTTAGGATTAAACCGCAGTTTTCAAGTTATTACTAAATGATTTACAATAATCTTTTCTGCTGCTTATAAAAAAACCTTCCGCTTAATTTTAAAGTTACTCCATAATCATTATCAACGCATTAATCCTTTCGCTGTCCCGTTTATTACATGTAGTTCATTGCTACTGTCTTACTATTGTGTCTGCAAACTGGACAGTGAGTGTAACTATAGAATATTTTCACCTTATTTACTTTTTTAAATTTGGCAAAACAAACAAATATATGTATGTAAAGCAACAACAAACATATAATATATGTATGTAAAGATGTATTTACTAGCTTACTAGGGTACGCGGTGATAGTTATACTATAAACCAAGTGACTAATAATCTAATAACTTCAGTTTAACATGGAAGAAGGCTTAATGTAGAAGGGCTACATACATTCCATAATAGTGGTTCATGTAGAAAGAATCCATTCTACTGGATATCATCATAAGGACATTTAGCGTTGCCGGATCGTAAAAAAAAGAAACTGGTACCTTAGAGATACACGATACCTTACGCTAAATGACTTTTTAACTTAATCCTAAAGTGGAGCTAGTATTCGTGTTAAGAGCGTGGTGCGTGCGAAGCGCGAACGGAGTCGTTTCCTCAAGCGCGATTTATTGCCACAGATTAAAAATAAACAGACTAAACTACATTGATTAAATATACGTCGCCATTCAAACAACATAAAGGCAATTGGAGTTAGCCCACACTCTGCAAAGTGAAGATTTATTTATTTTTATTTTATTTATTTATTTTCCACTATACAATTATTTTTATAGGTTTATTACCTATGCGATAATGTAGATAACTATTTTTACAAACTACAACTACACAGCAACAATCTAATAATTTTCTATCATAAACAAGTACTTATTGCTTCTACAAACACCAATTCTATGTCACAGTAAGACCATAACTTATTTCAAAGAGAGCTCTCACTATGAACCCACTGTCCGGGACACACATGCGCACTTGTTGCAATAAGTCTGGATTGTGAATCTTCTCTCATCACCTAAAAGATATATGAGACTAGCGCTAAATTCCTTCTAACTAACTACCATACCTAAGGTAAATAAGGTAGGTACATAGGATACTTATTTGGGTAAAATGGGTATACTCCATACATTTTTATATAAATATCCAATAAATATATTCTGCACTCTCTCCAACATGATACGATATGTAATTTCATGTGGAGACCAGATGACTGCGTTAAACTCTAATTGGCTCCAATGCAATAATTGTCTTGATATTATTGAAGCCTCTAGTTTACCCGTAGCACGAATCCTAAATTTCTGTAGGCTTTCTTACAGAATTTGGTTACATGCTCTCCAAATGCTAGTTTATAGGGGAAATTAACCCATGGATTTCTGACTTCTGACACTTTCGCTATTGGTATCCCGTTAATTTGGTTAGTTAGTTAGATACAGCCTATATACGTCCTACTGCTGGGCGCAGGCCTCCCCTCATTTCTGAGAGGGGTTTAGGGCAAGGAAGTGTCCGCCGCGCTGCCCCAAAGCGTGTTGGCGAACTTCACATGTCTTCGACATATTTTTTTCTTATTCCTCAGACATTCAGGTTTCCTCACGATGTTTTCCTTCACCGTCGAACACGTGGATAATCAGCACTTAAAATTTCAATTAACAATTTCATTGGTGCCGGCTGGGATCGAACCCGGGTTACTCGCGTTCTGTTATATTTACAGCGAGCGTTAACCATCTGAGCTACCACGGCTCTCGTTAATTTGGTATTGGTACGTAACTGGAGATAGTGCACGACTGGAAGTAATAGTTATGCGCAGCGAGATGTTAAATTGTAAACTATCATGCTCCAGTTTACCACCCTGTCTAAATCTTGTTGTAATTTTGGCAATCCTCTCTGTTTCTATCAGCAAGATACAGTTTCAGATCATCTGCAAATAGAGTGCAATGAGCATCTTTGACAACAGTTGGAAGATCATTTATCATTAACATGAATTGCAACGGACCGATGTTGCAGCCCTGACTTACTCCGGACCTAGTAAAATACCTTTCTGACCTACACACCGCATATTTTACATACTGCTCTCTGTCCCACATTTAATTAGCAAAAAAGGTTAGTAAATAGGGAGTAAACCCTAACTCCTGTGTTTTGTGCGCAGTATGTCATTATCTACTAGGTCGAAAGCTGTTTTGTTGTCAAAGAAAGCTACTTCTGCCTGTCCTCCAGTATCTACTTCGGGTATAATATAACTCATGGGATTAATTAGGTTCTTGGTGACGCTTTTTTTTAATTTATTTTATTATTCAAGTATGGGTTTACTTGAATAATAAAATAAATTTTGTTAGTACACTTAAAACTTAAAAACTAGGGGTTAGTAGAACAGAAACAGAATACCGCATAGATTCACAGAATACAGCTTTTGGCGGGATTAAAACCGTGTTGCCCATCTGAAAGCTGAACATTAACATGCGAGAGGATGCTCTTGTGTACTGCAGCCTCCAGTACGTTAGCTGGTGTCGAAAGCACAGAAACCGGCCTGTATTGGTCCACGTTTGATGCCGACTTTCCCTTGGGTACTAGGACGACCTTAGTTGTTTTCCATTTTTCTGCCTCCTCCACGCACTGATTAAAAATGTAGAGAAATGGCCTACAAAGGACTAGTCTTTGAAAATGTAGGTCGGCATATCATCGGGTCCCTTTAACTTTTTTGTATTGAGTTTTTGCAGAGCGTAACGTACTTCATCAAGCTTTAGTTGTTCTAGGTGGACCCTAGCCTTTAATTAAGACGTTTACCTTTCCTAAATAATTCCGATGCACTGCAGAATTCGGGCAGTTCGAACTAGCCGTTCCTAAGATCAGCAGATGTTCTCTGTATTAAAACTGGTTAACCCCATTGTTATGAAGAAAAGCTTTTAAACCGGCTTCAATGCCACATCAGGTGCTTTCTTATTTTTTAAACGATTTAACGTACGATACTTGCATTTAAAATATTTATTAACTTTGACCTCACATTAATCAGCAAGCTTACAGAATAAAGTCAGATAAGATAAATTACACACATCGGTTTTCAACGTAAATAAATTAACCAAACAGGACGCATTAAAACGAAATTTATAGAAATAGAGGTGGAAAATTATTAAATTTTTTGTTTCTATGAAGCTTCACTTCTATACGTTTTTATTAAAAGTTTAATTTTTATATTCATTAGTGACAAACGAGCATACAGTCCACCTGATGATAGGTGGATGCTGTAGCCCATAGACATCTAAATCTATCCTCAATTAAGAATCAAATGCAGATGCGTTGTCACCCCTGAGAACTAAGATGGAATGCCTCGTTTCCAGTAAATCAGGTTCTCCAGATCTCTACACTCACCATACGAAACAGAACAGTATTAAGCTGCCGTTTTACGCTCGTATTCTGTGAGAGCGTGGTCCTTCCCCGGTTGAGCTACAGTACTACAATGCAATACTAATATAGCTGCAGCGTGGCTCTACTACGTATGAAATAGGGTCCACAAGGGTTTATATATATATATATATATATATATATAAGTATTATATATTAGTAGTTTATATATATTAAAGAGCCTTTAACTCGTCATAACCTCCTAGAATCATAATCAGAGGTATGAAATAAAAAGCCTCGTACAGAACACGAAACAACCATCATTTTTTTCCGTTTTGAACAAAAATTGGCTCTGACCAGTATTTGAACCTAGGACTCGACAAGTTGCCAATTTCTCTTGATTAGTGTCCAGAGATCCTACAGTTATAAAGAAATATATAGAATAACTAACCGTAACCATCCATTTTTAGGTTTACGCACGTTTTCTTGCAAAAGACCACGACTCTGGTCGCGTGTCGTACTTCGTGTCGCGGCGAACGTGGCTGAAGGTGACCGAGTTGGTGCTGTCACTGATGCGAGTCTCCGACCCTCGAATAGCGTCACTACGCGACCGTGTTCTACAAGGTCGCAGCACTGGGCGCACTGAAGTACAAGTGCTTTCACCTATCACAGGTAATCATTCATAGCATTTATGTGAAATAAGTATCATATCACAACCAGTTTAGCTAAATTTTGTTTAAGGTTTTTAAGAATATAATATAATAAGATACGATAACCATCTATGATAAAATATTTAACACGTTTATTGAACAAAATTAATGATTTCATTTCGTATTTCGTTATTAAAAATACGACGACAGAATTTTCTAAAACGAATTTCGCTTAACAGGTCGCGTCATTGGCCTCCGGGAAGTGAGAGTAGTGAACGATAAAGTCTCTATATCCCGGCTGCTCGTGCGAGTTATCTCCGGCCTCCAACTGAACATCTCTCCAGACACAGCGATTGAAAACGGTTACGTATCGGAAACTACGGTCACTAGGCGTCTCACTGCACAATATCAGGTAAATAAAATATTATCTTTCTTTAAAGTATACTACATACTTTATTATATTTTTATTTAATTTGTTTTTAGTGACATATATTGGGGACAGGTATTGAGATTTTGACGCGGGGAAATCCTTACGAATATCTTCTAATGCTTTTGTAAGGAAAGGTTTTATAACGAGGCCTCGATACTACTTCTGTACTATCGTTTTCCTCGGCTTTGCATTACTGGACGTTCGAGGCCTCCACGAGCCCCGTGTCTAATAGCGGAATAATGTTATCAAAAGGAGGACGTTAATAACTTAACGGCATCGTCTCCCCTCGGGGACTCCTTGGGGATCCTCGCTCAATTCCACTCAGCAATTTCCTTCTAAACAATTAAGAACTTACAGAAGGTGGCTACGGCCCTCCACCATTTTTCGCGCAGTATCGTTGTCACTGATGGTAGAGAAAGGTTCTGTCCGATCTGGTTCACCAGGTTTGTCCGTTTCCGTTCCCTCGCTGGGCACGTCGCGAGTATGTAGGTTGTAAATTTTTGTTCGATCTTATCATGAAATAACTAATGATATCAGGCGATTTTGTTAAAATTCCAATTTGTTAAATAATATTTTTTTATAGGATAGGGTGACAAACGAGCACACAGTCCACCTGATGGTAAGTGGTTTGCTGTGGCCCATAGACGTCTACATCTATCCTCGATTACGAATCAAAATGCAGATGCGTTGTCACCCGTGAGGACTAAGATGGAATGCCTCGTTTCAAATAAATAGGCTCTGTGTGACAAAATCGATTAACTTATAAATTTTAATTCATCATTTATTCCTATAATAGATTCGTCAGCAATTTTTAAGGACCTGAAGATTAAACCTAAACTAAATAAAACATATTATCCTTAATTCGTAATATTTTAAATAAAATACATGACAGTCACAGGTCTTAAATAACAAAAGTTTAATGAGTCTTTTAAAGCTTTGAGCTTTCGAAGGACGCACTGGGGATAACTCTAGAATCCGCAAATTTCCCAAGAGATCTTGCCGGCAAGAAAACCTGTTCATAAAATTACTTTGTAACTTCTGAGGATACATCGTACAAGATTACTTTTAAGTCTGATGTTTCAAAAACATTAAAAGTAATTATATCTATACATAAAAAAAATTTTGGGATGTGCAAGCGGGTTTTAGAAAGGGAATGGGGTGTACAGATCAAGTCTTTTCCATGCGCATGATTGCGGAGAAGTTTTTGGCCAGAAACCAGAAAGTTTTTTGTGCGTTCATGGACTTGGAAAAGGCTTATGACAGGGTGGACAGGAATGTGTTATGCTGGTTTGATACAGGCATTAAGGTCTCTTTATAGGGACTCTAGTGCTTGTGTCAGGATCAATGGGGTCTACTCGGACTGGTTTGGCATCCAAAAAGGTGTCAGACAGGGCTGTGTGGCTTCCCCTTGGCTGTTCAACCTATTTATGGACCGGTGTTTGCAAACTTTGAAAGATGAAGAATGTGGGTTAAGAATGGGCGAGTTAACCGTCAAATGCTTTTTGTATGCCGATGATCAAGTCATACTTGCGTCATCGGCGGCAGAGTTGCAAATGATGGTTACATTAATGAACTGGGAATTAAAAGAAAGGGGAATGAAAGTGAACGCAAGTAAGACGAAAGTGATGGTTTTTGAAAGAGAAGAAAGCAAAACGGTATGTGAAATAAGAATAGAAGGAGAGTTGATTGAGCAAGTGGATGAGTTTGTGTATTTGGGATGTGTATTTAGCAGGGATGGTAGATATGATAGGGATATAGAACGACGAGTAAATGCAGGGAATAGAGTAAATGGGGCACTACACTCTATTATGAAGAACCAGAATTTGTCAAAACAGGCACGTATGGTAATTCATAATGCTGTGTTAGTCCCTACTTTAATGTATGGTAGTGAAAGCTGGGTGTGGCAGAAGAAGCACGAAAGTAGAATAAATGCTGTAGAAATGCGGTCTTTAAGGAATATGCTAGGGTGTAATCTGAATGACAGGGTGAGAAATTGCGTGATAAGAGATAAATGTGGTATGCAAGATGATGTTGTGACCAGGATTAAGAAAGGAATGCTTCGGTGGTTTGGTCACGTAGAAAGAATGAATGAGGAAAGAGTGACAAAGCAAATTTATATGGCAGATGTGAATGGCCGAGTCGGGAAGGGACGCCCTAGGAAAAAGTTTATCGACCAAATTGGCGATATTTTGAAAATGGGCCACGTTAGAAGTACCCTTAACCGACGAGCATGTATGCGTAGATATATGGATGTAAAGGAGGCGAAAGAGGTATGTCAGGATCGTGCCAAATGGAAGTCCGTAGTCTCTGCCTACCCCTCTGGGTGACAGGCGTGAGTGTTTATGTATGTATATCTATACAATGTATAATGTAATGTATATTATCGTAGAAAGAAGGGGGGGATGAGTCGCTCGCGTCCGTAGGCTTCGACCACCTAACCTTAGGCCCACCCTACACGTGTCCCCCGGGTGGTGCTAAACGAGCGACAAAGCCGATAAAATAGACTCGGCTCCTCGCCGTATGGTAGCGGCGTAAAATCTACCACCAACCCTTGTTCGCACCATGACTCAAGAAATAAAAGAAATGGCCCCGAGTTCCCGGCGCCCTTTAAATGGGGCAGGGGTGCGAAGAATCTCCGGGAGAAAAACCGGCGACGAGGTTCGCCACCCGTCACGTGCTGTCTCCCGGAGGGGCGAAAAGTGGATTGCGGAGACCCGTCTGGCTACGCTGAATGTATGTGGAGGAATTAATGATAAGATGGATGAAGTATGCGAAATGATGAATGACAGAGGAATAGATGTGTTATGTGTGAATGAGACGAAACGAAAGGGAAAGGATGCCACTGCACATGGCACGTATACCGCGTATTGGTCTGGTGTAGGCGAGACCGAACGGGCATGCCAGGGAGTCGGTTTCATCCTTTCAGAAAGAATGGGTCAATGTGTGAAAGAGTATGAATGTGTAAGCCCAAGACTGCTATGGATACGAATGAAAGTGGGCTTAAAGAAACTGTTCCTGCTAGGGGTGTACGCCCCAGACATGTCTAAGCCCACTTACATCCGAGAGCAGTTTTGGGACATGGTAAGGATGGTGTTGACAAAATGTAAGGAAAATGAAAATATTATTATGTTAGGAGACTTTAATGGAAGGGTTGGGGTGAAGAGGTCTGGTTATGAAAGGATATTGGGAACGTTTGGTGATGAAAGTATAAATGAGAATGGTGAAGACCTCCTCACCGTATGTGCGGAAAAGAATCTTTTTGTGACGAATACTTTTTTTCGTCATAAGAAGATTCACATGTATACATGGGAAAGAGGTGATGATAGAAGCATGATAGATTTCGTAATTGTGGATGAAAGAATGAGGAGCGCAGTCGTAGATACAAGTGTTTACCGGGGGTCCAACGTAGGGACGGATCATTACTTGGTCTTATGTCGAATTAATGGTCTTTTCAAGCGTTGGCGGCATCGGACATCTGTATCTACCACTGCGTTACAGCGTATAAGAATAGAGAAGTTACAAGATGAAGATGTGATAGAGAAGTATAAATGTAGACTGAGAGAAAATATTAGATGTTTGAATGAGTTGTGTATGAATGATTTAGACTTGAATACTGTGTGGGATAATATTAAGAAAGGTTTGGTGGATACCGCCACCGAAGTATGCGGTGTAAGTAAGAGAACAAATGAAAGGAAAAGTAATACGTTATGGTGGGATGATGAGGTACGGGTGGAAGTTGAATCAAAGAAGAAAGCATGGTTAGATTTACTAGCAACCAAAGCTGATAATTCTTCTGGTATGAATGATGAGATTGAAAGAAAAAAGGCAGAATTTAGACGTCTAAATAAGAGAGTAAAAGAAGTTGTTGAAAGGAAAAAGAAAGAAAGAACGGATAAGAATGATAGAAGGATATCTGATAATTTCCAGGCTAACATAAAAATGTTCTGGAAACTCGTAAGAACTGCCAGGGGAAATACAAAACAGCCTATAATAAATGCTATAAGAGACGAGAATGGATGTATTCTGAATGATGAAGTTTCGATTTTAAACAGATGGAAGGAATACTTTGAAAGCGTGTTTATGAGTGAAGAGTCGTATGAATTAAATGAACTAGAAATTCCGAAAGAAGTGGAAAGGGGTATGGAGATAAGTGTAGATGAAATAATGAAAGCAATGAAAAGCATGAAAGCAGGTAAGGCAGCTGGATATGATAGAGTATCACTCGAGATGCTAAGGGCTGGAGAGGGAGTGGTGGCAGGCCTGCTGTACACCTTGTTTAATTTATGTTGGGAATTAAAACGGGTACCGGATGACTGGTGTAAAGCAGTTATAGTACCAATATATAAAGGAAAAGGGTCACAGCAGGACTGCAAAAACTACCGCGGTATCAGCTTGCTTAGTATTGTGGGTAAACTGTATGCTAAGGTGTTAATTGAAAGAGTTATGAAAGAAACTGATGGAAAAATTTGGGATGTGCAAGCGGGTTTTAGAAAGGGAATGGGGTGTACAGATCAAGTCTTTTCCATGCGCATGATTGCGGAGAAGTTTTTGGCCAAAAACCAGAAAGTTTTTTGTGCGTTCATGGACTTGGAAAAGGCTTATGACAGAGTGGACAGGAATGTGTTATGGCAAACACTGAACTCATATGGGTTGAGCGCTGGTTTGATACAGGCATTAAGGTCTCTTTATAGGGACTCTAGTGCTTGTGTCAGGATCAATGGGGTCTACTCGGACTGGTTTGGCATCCAAAAAGGTGTCAGACAGGGCTGTGTGGCTTCCCCTTGGCTGTTCAACCTATTTATGGACCGGTGTTTGCAAACTGTGAAAGATGAAGAATGTGGGTTAAGAATGGGCGAGTTAACCGTCAAATGCCTTTTGTATGCCGATGATCAAGTCATACTTGCGTCATCGGCGGCAGAGTTGCAAATGATGGTTACATTAATGAACTGGGAATTAAAAGAAAGGGGAATGAAAGTGAACGCAAGTAAGACGAAAGTGATGGTTTTTGAAAGAGAAGAAAGCAAAACGGTATGTGAAATAAGAATAGAAGGAGAGTTGATTGAGCAAGTGGATGAGTTTGTGTATTTGGGATGTGTATTTAGCAGGGATGGTAGATATGATAGGGATATAGAACGACGAGTAAATGCAGGGAATAGAGTGAATGGGGCACTACACTCTATTATGAAGAACCAGAATTTATCAAAACAGGCACGTATGGTAATTCATAATGCTGTGTTAGTCCCTACTTTAATGTATGGTAGTGAAAGCTGGGTGTGGCAGAAGAAGCACGAAAGTAAAATAAATGCTGTAGAAATGCGGTCTTTAAGGAATATGCTAGGGTGTAATCTGAATGACAGGGTGAGAAATTGCGTGATAAGAGATAAATGTGGTATGCAAGATGATGTTGTGACCAGGATTAAGAAAGGAATGCTTCGGTGGTTTGGTCACGTAGAAAGAATGAATGAAGAAAGAGTGACAAAGCAAATTTATATGGCAGATGTGAATGGCCGAGTCGGGAAGGGACGCCCTAGGAAAAAGTTTATCGACCAAATTGGCGATATTTTGAAAATGGCCCACGTTAGAAGTACCCTTAACCGACGAGCATGTATGCGTAGATATATGGATGTAAAGGAGGCGAAAGAGGTATGTCAGGATCGTGCCAAATGGAAGTCCGTAGTCTCTGCCTACCCCTCTGGGTGACAGGCGTGAGTGTTTATGTTATATTATCGTAGAGGAAGGACATTGTTCACTTCTATGTTAGAAAATTGAAATGAATTATCCATCTAAAACTACATTTTTCTGCAAAAAACAGCGAAGACGGTTTTGAACATAATGATTTATTTATATTTAACACTTACACATTGACTATAACAACCGACCTTTCGGATGCTTTCCAGCAGTCCAGCACCTATGGTCACGGAGGCTGATGTGACTGACGTCCCGATGCCAATGTTAACCTGGAGTACCTTCAGCTTTTTAATTATTATTTAAATTTTGTAAAACCTCTTTTAACGTTGCTTGATCGCAAAAACGTGCTCAGTTGACGCGAGTTAAGCACAGGTTGCTTGAATTGTGTAGTAATACAAAAGCGTTTGGATTTCACGAGACGCATGAAATGTATTTAGACGTATCAATGCCATTGAAGCAATTAAATTGAAAGCAATATTGAATCAAAATTGAACCATATAATATCGGCTTAATATCGGCTTTAACGAATAGTTGAATGTATTCAATGTTAGGAACAAATCGACCACAAGAAAAAATATTATGCTGCTTTATTTATTTAAAAAAAACTAGCGCTAATAAACATACATAACGTGTGTAAACATTACAGGAGGGCCTACTGGACATAGACATTGAGTTCTCGGATGGCAGCCACACGGCATTGCGTGACGTAGCGGTGTCTGATTACTATTTGCTTGTTGAGAGCCTCGACTCTGAAGTAGTGGCGTTCGCACCTATGTTGGCATCGCGGCACCCTCGCGTCATAGCGGTTGGTGAAGGTGGGTACATTTATTTTATGTTTATAATAATAATCATCATTAATTTCGGATCATGATCCATATGCGTTAGTAAAATAATTTATAAATTATGTTAGTAATAACACAGAATGAATAATAGTACTACGTAGTAATATCATTAACTAATTATAATTAAATTAATTCATATACCTCTGCCCACTTTCTACTGCACCAGACCTGCAACAGTGCAAAAATATCCAGTGCTGCAGAGACAGGTAGTCTGATTTCTCCACAATAACTCTCAGGATGCTGTTGGTGCTCCCTCGAAGCCTGCGCATCAGGAATGCTGTTCTTTTTCGCAGAAGCTGTCCGTTTCCGTTTCAGCAAAAATGCTTGATCCAGAATTGTTGAAGCCCCAACAGTACTATTGCAAACGAAGAACATTGTAGGCCCCCTGCGTATGTGTAAGGCACAGGCTGCACATGCAAAATGGCTGGCAAAACGCCTTGAAAAGTGTAATTTTCACTTCTGTCGTACAACGTGCAAACCTGCAAGCCAGCATGTTGCACCGGACCGATAACGTTCTTCCCTCCCTCTCCATATTATCATCAGCATCTAAATCTTCATTAACTATTTGGCCAAGTTACTTAGATTGGGAAACCCTCTTGAGTGCTACACCATAAAGGCACACCGCAGGAACTGTATTAGGGTTTTTAGTACCCACCCGAAACACCATAACCTCACTCTTCTTTACATTATATAGGGAGAGCGTGAGACATGGCGTATCTTTCACTCACTCCAAGCAGATCTCTGAGTGCATCAATCGAAGGACTCAGCACCACCATGTCATCTGCAAAACTTATGATGTTTATTATATTGCCGTCAACGCTGCATCTGATACCGTTTATTATTCTAACTTCATATTATAACAGTATAGAGGAGTTGGATGTTTTACTTTTTAGTATTTTATACTAAAAAGTAAAACATCATAAATAGTTCATATTTATGATGTTTTACTTATTCATCATAAAATAGTTTTACTAAAAGTTTACTAAAAATTATTAAGAAAAATTGAAAAAAAAATTAACAATTGATTTTTCATGTAATTTTACAATTAAAAATGGTTTTTCTAAAATGTAAATCGCTTTCGTAATGCTACCGCGTGGTGAAATAATAAAACACTCATGGTTACATTGTTAAAATTAGAAAAATTCTTATGGCATACTACAGGTTATATGTTTTGTTATGACAAATGGTAATCCGAATATAGAAAATACAAAAGTATAGCATAATTGGGATTGACTAACAGCCTCAACGGATATAATGACGTCACAACCAATCACAAATCTTTTTTCATTCAAATTTTTTTGTTTTTTTATTTTTTATATTTTATTATTTTTTTATAATAATTACTAAAAAATGAAAATAATTACTAAGAAATGAAATATTTTTATTGAATTATTCTTTCATTTATATATAAATTGGTGGAAAAAAATGCAACTTCTCTGTTGTTAAATGTAATTACAATAATCAGAATAGTATTTAGAATACAAAGTTTTCATTTCGACTGAAGTTACAGCCTTCATACGTCCTAAAGGCACAAGCGTCTCCATTTCTGAGAGGGCTAGGTTAATCCGGCACGCTGCCCCAGTGCACGTTTGCACATCTCGTATATACTCGAAATACAAAGATGTTTTTGTCCATGACCCCAAAATAATAAAAATAAAAGAAAGTTTAAAATTATAAATCTGGGGGTACGGCAGTGCCCCCCCCCCCCCCCCCCCCCCGCCAAGTCGAGCAAAAAACCGGCACGGCCGTACCATACTTTTCTCGAAGCAATTCAGGCCATTTTCGACCCCCTATAACTTCGTAGTCAATAAAACTAGAAACTTGATTTTTAATAACCGAGTAGGCATTGTATAAACATGGTATATTTTAAATTTCAATCGATTTGAACCAGTAGTTTCAGAGTTACAACTAGTCAAAATTTCTTAATTTTGTCACTCACTGACTGACCGATCATCAAAACTCTAAGACACTTCTAGCAGACATAGAAGCTTAAAATTTAGAATACAATTAGTGTTTAGTGTATAAATCAAGGAAAAACTAAAATATTAATGATTTCTTATATTTACGCGAACATTGCACATGATTAAAACTACTCTCAGTCCCCCGTGACCATGGGTGCTGGAAAGCGCCCGAAACGTCGGGAATTAAAAATAAAAAGTAAAAATAAACGCGATAAAATCCGTAAAAGTAGTTTTAATCATGAACTAAAATATTTGTTAATTTCGGTCTAGCTTTCTAGATAAATCAACTGCATAAATAACTTTGTAATCCTATATAAATATATAGAATTACAAAGTTACATTTGCGGTAAATGAATCAGTGTACTTGTAGGTATATGTATGACAGGTGTAGATAGGTATAATACGTTGTTGGTATTCAATAAGTAGAAGGTACCGGAAAGGTAAAAATGTAGGACTATTTTATCTACAAAAAGAAATGAGATGTCATCAAAAACATAACTTGTAAAAAAAAACCAAGTCTCGCAACTCAGTTCTTCTACCGTAAAAAGTTGTGAGATCCATGTAATTCCAAGTCCGTTAATTTATTCAGTTCCTACTTAAGGGTCCTTCTGTTTTAAGTTACTACGTAATTAGCTAACCAAACAACATTTTGTAGTGACCATATCAATGTTAAAAATGTTTTATGTTTTAAATATATAGATTGACTTGGCAGTACACACTTACACGTACACTTAAATTTTAATCTTTATTCTCTAAAGTGTGCATATATTATTTGATATGTATTTATAAATAGATAAGTTAACATTGTTTTTGCAGGTAGCGGCGAACTTCTTCGAGTTACACTCCTTACTCCTGAACAATGTCGCGTGGGCCCGCTTCGTCGTGTAGCCCTCCCCGGAAAGGGTGATACGAAAACCCCAGCCAATATCAAAAACATCCCAGGAGCACTTGCCACTGCTGCTGCTAGTGTGGACGTAGACTTTAGCGGTGGAGATGTTCCACAGAGACCTGACACCCCTCAAAACGACGATATCATGGCGCGAGGGGGGATCCGGACTGGAATGTCTGATCTCAGTGATGTACTTAAAGGTGAGTGCTACGTCATCATAAAACTGGGTCTTAACCTCTTATTTATAATTTTTGTGTATTGGAAATATTTTGGTTTATTTCGACCATAGCGGCTTTCTTAATATCACGAAACGGTGCCGATGCCGGATACTATATTATATAATACTAGATTTTATTTATTTATTTAAAAACTTTATTGCACTTAAAATGTACAATTAGCGGACTTAATGCCTTTAGGCATTCTCTACCAGTCAACCACGAGCTAAGCAGAGAACTTTAGCAGGTGCCATAAAACATGAGGATAATTTATACGTGAATGTAAATATATAAATATACATAACTACAATTAACCTAAGTAGTATAAGTACTCAATACCTGATACATTACATACATAATGTTTAAATAGTACATAATACATACGTTTGAAGCATAGGTACTTACATACGAACATATTATACTGTTACGAGCTTGAGGTTTGTGACAATAAAATTGCCGATAAAATTACCTAAATTAACACTTTAATTTTCTTTACACAAATTTAAACTTAAAACACTAATAATTAATCACACTGATTCACTTTATTTCGCTCCGAAGCTTCGCTTGTCTCGCCAAATTCAATACTTCCCCGATCGCGTATTGCAGCGCCTTTATATAGGGCTCTTCCACGAAAACATCCAGAATATTCCAGAATATTCGAGTAAATACGCGCGCCAACCGACCAAGCGCAGTAAGTTCGAGTTTGGGGCTTCCAGAAAGCTTAGTTCTTCAATTCGATACTAGATGGCGCTGTCGGTTGAAAGATTAGTGATGTCATTTTCTGGAAAGCTCTCTCTTCGCTCTGTTACCCGACACTAGATGGCGCTATTGCCAGATGTCAACTTAGCCGCGCAACACTGGCCCCTCCTAAGACATGCTCGTCCGGAGCATTATCGGCCCCATAATAACGCGCCAGGCGATCCACATGGACGATATTAGGAGTCCCTCTTGCGCCTTTCTGTAACGGCTCCGCAATGTCAAGGGCTGTCCTATGCCGTGGTGCACCAATATTGTACAATTTCGATGCTCCTCTACTACGTGTCTGAGGTCCCCTCACAGCCGCACAACTTGTACATGTACGACACCAATCCTCGACATCGTCACGATAATGGACCCAGTGAAACTGTTCTCGGACCTTCAGCAGAGTTCGTTTAACTCCCAGATGGACTCTTGAACGACCATTATGGCACAGCTGTAGAACATTCGGCACTTTAGCTTTAGGGACAACCATTTGCAAACGACAGCTGTTTCCTCGACAGTTCCCAGACAGTCCCATTTACGGCACAGGACTCCATCCTGAATCAGAAAGCTGTCCCATCGGGCCCAATAGCTTCTAGTGTTCGAACTCATCGCTGAGACGTCGCTCCACTTAGGCTTGGTAGCACGGGCCTTCATCCATTCCAGAATCGACTTGATGTCCGGATCTTCCTGCTGTGCATGTCGTAGGCTGTCCTTCCACTCGTTGCTGATGTGGTCTGTCCTGAGCATCCTCATGGATACCACTTCCTTACTCTCTTGCCTAGTACAATGTTTCCGATCTTCAGGACAAGGTCTTCTTGACAATGCATCTGCGTTGCCATGAGATTTCCCGTTGCGATGTCTGATAGTAAAGTCGTATCCCGGCTGCTGCTGGGTGGTGATGTTAGCCGCACTTCCCTTCTGAGATCGTTTACCTTCCCTCTCTAGGGTTCGCTTAGGGCAGCTGGATCGAAGATGGCCCCTTTCCCCACAGCCATAGCACCTAGGGCTGTATCCTTTATTGTGGTCGCGAACTGCTGCAACCTCCCTAGCGTGAGAGGAATGATGTTGCTGCCACCGCCAGGCGGTGCCGTTAGCTGCACTACCCTCTCGAGATCGATCAACTTCCCTTTCTTCAGTTCGCTTAGGGCAGCTGGATCGTAGATGGCCCTTTTCCCCACAGCCATAGCACCTAGGGCTGAATCCTTTGTTGCGGTCGCGAACTGTAGCTGCTGCAACCTCCCTGACGCGATGGGAACGATGATCCTGCCGCACGGCTTCCACCTCCAGTGCATGGGCCAAGGCGTCCTTAAGCGTCTCGTGGTGCCCGAGCCTCACAGCAGCTCTGACTTCCAGGACGCGGATGCCGTCGATGAATGTCGGCAACAGGTTCTCTTCAATGAGCGCAGGTACAGACCGGTATGCTTTTCGCACCAGCTTCTCCACCTCTAGAGCCCACTGCTGCAGGTTTTCTTTGATGCGCTGCACGCGATCTTTAAGCTGCGCACGAAAGACGTGTTCCAGGTGAGCGTCGCCATATCTCGCCTCCAATGCCTTAAGGAGTTGCTCATAAGTCACTTCCTCACCGAGAGCTTCCAGAACTGTTAAGGCCTGGTCGCGCAGGCCTAGTGTGAGAGCAGTCATGGCCTGACTTTTATTCCAGCCGTTCGCCTTCCAGAAAGCTTAGTTCTTCAATTCGATACTAGATGGCGCTGTCGGTTGAAAGATTAGTGATGTCATTTTCTGGAAAGCTCTCTCTTCGCTCTGTTACCCGACACTAGATGGCGCTATTGCCAGATGTCAACTTAGCCGCGCAACAATACTAAAACAATTTGAATAATTTATAATGTCAAGTCACTTATAAGCAGAAACAATTAAATATGAAAGTTAGTTGCTGGAAGAAGAAAGGTAGTGATCAGTCACCATCTTCTTAAAGGTAGCAACAGAAGTCGGTTTCCTGATATGAGAGGGTATTTTATTCCATACCTCATGGCCTCAGCGGCGAAAGACTGAGACATACATTTGGTACGGCGAGGAAAAACACATAAGGTCGGAGGATCGCAGGTTACGATCGTGAGAAGAACCCAAATACTGACACTTGCATTTCAGGTATTGGGGAGTGTATGGATCATATAGGATTGAAAAAAGCGTGCGAAGAATGTTGATACATCTACGCTGATTGATAGGGAGCTTAGATCGATATATGTAATACTAGATTTTACCCCGGCTTCGCCCGCGTGTAGGTCGGTAAATGACATAATTTTGAAAAATCACAGTCAATGTGTTATTCAAAGACCTAATATAACGTAAACAGAATTACACTCCTGATTTGTCTTACAGGAAGCGTGCGTTTTTCCGGGTATAAAGTAGCATATTACATAATACTCGTATCTCTGCAAAAAATCATTTTTATCCGTTACCCAGTTGAAGCGTGAAAGATGGACAAACGAACAAACACGCGCATATATAATATTAGTGGGCATTATATTACGAGTATTAGGATGTGGTGCCACAAAATAATTAAAATGTGGTAACATTGTCGGATTCAGGGATTATAATAATTATTAATCACAAGCAACATAATATACACATTTACATAAACATATTTTTAAATAAGTTTAACCTACCTATTAGGAATTTTTTTTTGGTGATTTCAGGTTTTTCTCCATTCAAAGACGAAAATAATCACGAACCTACAGTACAGGCTCAGCAATATGGCTCCATCTTTCGTAGCAATTCTCCGGTACATCCTCGCCATCAGCAGCCACATATGACGCCAGTTGAAATCGGTAGATACATTTTACTATTATTATAATATAAATTATACTATTATTATACTATATTGGTATATAATAATACCTGATACCTATATGAAAATGAAATTATTTTATTCATAATTATTGTTCATCTTAAAAGATTTTAAGAAAACCGTAATATCATTTTATCTATCACTTTATAATTTCAGGAATGTACGTTTTACTTGGGGCATTTTGTTTCGCGATTGTCGTGAGTATAATAATATATTAATTACATATTCATTTTAAAATGAAAAAAATATTTTTGAACAAATATGAATATTGACATAAGTTATTATTAAATTTTATTTTGATTTTTAGTTTATTTCTTCAAACATTAACAGTATTTTTTCTGTACCAAAAATAGGTTTTCGTAGTCTCCTGTGTGGTATACGCATCTCGCCTAAAACCAGCAAGTGCTGACGGAGGAATAAGTGGAGGTCGGTCTCTGCCTGCGGTAGCAGAAGGCGGAAGATTGCAAGTTGCTGGTCTTGTGGGAACAACACTTGGACTATCTAAAGAGAAGCCTTCTAGGGAATCTACAACCAATGCGCATGACTGGGTATGGCTAGGTAAGAAGTAACATTTCATCCTTAATCGGAAATAAATATTAATAGGTATTCAAATATTTCGATTTCCTTTCTTCTTCTTTATGCCGGTTTATTGCTATGAAATCACTAAAATAAAATTTAAGTACTTCAATTCGTTATATGTGTAGTTCCATTATATTATTAACAATTTAAATTTGTATTTTTAAATACACTACAAGAACAAAATCGCGTACTATGCGCACAGTATCTAGTCTCACAATATTTACTTCTAATATTTTAATATGAAAATTATTCCTAATAATATTTGATCACATATTGTAATTGTAGGTAGAGCAACAATAGAAAGAAATGGAAATCGACAACTCGCAAATCGAAACTCGACACAACCTGCGGACAAAGGCAACAACAATCAGGAGATGAGAATCACTTCGAACCCTCTTAATTACAACTACGTGGACCCAGATGACGCAATACGAGACAATGGAAACGTGATGGTGACGAGTTTTGACAACCCTAACTCCATCGAACTGCCTTCGCAAAATGAGAAGAAGGAGAGAGTTATCGATTCAACAACTTACTGTAAGAAACCAGGAAGGCACACACGTCAGCACTCCGGAGACGGTCATTGGCAGTAAGATTATGTCGACATCATTTCTTGAATGTTCACCGCTAGACAATTACACGCTTTTAACATTTTCCACCAATTAGTATATTATGTAGATTACGTTAGCTTAAGAACTACTGAACTATATATAGTTGTTATCGACTTAAGTTTAAATGTTTATATTTTACCTTTAGGGTGGATGCAACTGATCCCGACGAGTATCGACCACCGGTTCCACCACACAGGAATTCCTCAACATCACAACCCCAAATACCTGTCCCGCCACGCAATACAAACAAAGTTAGTATTTCGTCCGTTTATTAAACGACGATAATCAACTTATGGTGCATAATTAGTTTTGAAATACCTAGTTATTGTAAAGTAAATTTAACAGTTATGGAGAGTCCATATTGTTACAAAGTTTCATTTCATTAGTTCGGGGAATCCCTATTTTAATAAATTATAATTAAGGTGGCCCTAGTCGACAGCACGAACTAAGTGGTGGGCGGTGTTAAAATGCATGCTATCTCAGCCGACATAACGTGCGAAAGCGAAAGGCATGATAATTTACAACGAAACGAGCGCGCGAAATTTTATATAAAGACCTTTGGGATTCTGGATATCATGAAAAATCTATTGAATGTATCTGTTAAAAATAAAATTATTTGCACTTTTGAACACCTAATCTATACCAGTATGGTAACTGTTTTGCAATTTTCGTTCTTCTCATGGTATTTTTTTCCGTCCAAAGATGTGTTAAAATTATTACTTTTAAATATATTCTTTTTTTACTTTTTTGTTTCCATACAGGGCTAGATAATGATGAGACAAATTGAAATAATTTTTTATTTTGAACGTACACCATCAAACAGTGGAGTAATTGCCAGACTACGTTTGTATGGAAGAATGAACGACTAGTGTACCCTTAAAGCTTCGACTGTGAACCTAAACGTCCATAGGTTGTAATTGTGTTCTATTTATACATTATAGTATAATATACCTTTAAATATTTCAGACATTGCCCGAAACTGTCATGCCACCAACAAGACGCAGCCATTCCAGGAATCATCACAAAAAACACGACCGCGAACCCGAATCTTCTAAAAGGTCTCCAGATAATGCCCGCCGTTCGGACCGGTAATGTATCCGAATTAAAAATACTTTCTTTATAAATAGGCCACAGCATCCACTTGGTGGATGCACTTGGCGAATGTTGTGGCTCGTTTAGCTGACGTTGACATCTATCCTCGATTCAGAATCAAAATACAGAATGTGTTGTCACCGCTAAGGACTTAGATGGAACGCCTTGTTTCTATTAAAAAGGGTCTCCGATTCTCTTTACTCACCATACGAGTCACAACATTAGCTCTACCACGTATATTAAAACAATTTATAGTTGTAGCATGAATGGGTCGGCTCGACCGGGGAAGGACCACGCTCTCACAGAATACCAGCGTCAAATAGTAGCTTAATGCTGCTGTGTTTCGTATGGTGAGTGTATAGAACCGGAGACCCTTTTTACTGGAAACGAGGCATTCCATCTTAGTCCTCACGTGTGACAACGCATCCGCATTTTGATTCGTAATCGAGGATAGATGTAGGTGTCTATGGGCCACAGCAACTACTTACCATCAGGTGGACTGTGTGCATGTTTGTCACCCATTCCTATAAAAAAAACATACAATTTATTAAGAATCAATTTATCAAATTAACATGTTTCTTTCCAGAGTTATTGATTTGAATAAAACCGACGCGCCATACATGACGAACCGTGATACGAAAGACCAATACAAACACGACCCATACCCAATGCAATTCCAAAATGACTTCGAAGATAACGTTGTGGAAAAACTTACGAATAAGGAAGATTGTGCGAGACTTTTTGAATTTGACAACGATGCTCCACTCATCATGGAGAATAAGGACTATAGAGAAATTGTGGGGCTTAACAGAGGCACGGATGACTCACGACGCACCTTTGCCAAACCTGAGAGCCCCGACTACATGCATGATTCTGGAATAGGTAAACAATAAATGATGCTTTTATTATTTTTTCTTTTCTGTTTTCTAATTGAGTTTTTCTGTATTCTGTAACAATTTGCACGTGTCTGGTTACTTTTTAAGTATGACGTTACCAAGATAGTCATTCATATCACTTGCACTGCCTTGTATTGTCTTTACTTACCGCTACCCGACAATATTTTAACACCAAACGTATTATATTCCAGATTCCGATAAATATACTTTTGTTCGGATAATTAAGTTTTAAGATATTGCATAGCTTTTATCGCGGGCTTTGAGCGCGGCGACCGAATTCCGTAAGGAAAAAAACCTAACACCCCACAACCTAACATCGGCTAACGTTGTTTTAGTTCGGCAGACTTCGGCACGGTGTTTGTGTGCGTGCGACTAGACGTATGCGTGTAGAGTGTAGACTAGTTGAATGTATTGTAAGATAATGAGTCGTCGTCATGCTAGCAACTTTCGTGAATTTAAGAGTATTTAATAAGCACAGACTTTATAGAAAATTATCGTTTGTCGGAAGAACTCGTTAATTACCATAAACCTATAGTTTCAATGATAAAAATTCCTTATATATTCCTATTAAGATAATAAAAATATTTTAAACAATATTAACTTCTCATAAAAGAAAAGAAATGTTTTCTTATCGGTCACCACGCTCAAAAAGTGTATTCTTGAATTAGTATCAAAGAAAAAACTTGAATTAATATCAAAGAAAAAAATAAAGAAAAAAATAGTGCACAAATAAAATAAATAAATAATTATAATTGCATACGTTGATAAAAATGCTATGTAATAGCTTTACCGCGGCAGTCCCCGAGTGCCACACGTATTTATTTTTTTTCAAATGAGAACTGGTAATTGTAGGTTTACCGGACGTACAGATGCGGCACAAGAATAGATCTAAGGAATCCACCAAAGCAGATTTCGTTGAACCTGGGCAACAAAGTAAAGGTAATTTTTAATGTTATCATATTTAATAGAAAAATTATTTAAAATTACACTTCAAAAATATATAGAAAATACGTATCATACTAAAATATAAAGTATGATATGATAGCGAATGCCCAAATTTGCAGACTTGCGCTGTGACTAAACGCCTTCTTTCGAAAAGAGATTTCACATTTTCAATGGGATAGTACTTAAATAAAAAATTAAAGAAGACAATTTATTTTTGTATGGAGAATCGGTCCACCATAAATTGTAGCGTAACAATGAAATGCATGTTGATTTATTCCTTATAACCTATATATTACGGTGGTAATATTAGTTTTATCGCATCTAACGGGAATACTAAGAAAAGAACAATAAAAATATTAATATTACAATAACCTAAAAACAAACTAAAAGCGATCGTCTAATAGTTTTTACTAGTATTATAATTTAAAATAGTGCAGTGTTCAATAATTAATAGTATAAAACAAAGTTGTAGGTTCTCTTATAGGTATATTAATATGCTTGCTTCAGTCAATCGTCTCGACCAAATGTACCTTTACAACGACACATCAAGATCGGCTGTGGCCGCTGGCCTGAAACGTCATAGTATGCAAGTTATGTGTTCGATTCCTATTCGCAATTTTATGTCCCGGATTACACTTGCTGCGCGTTTAAGTATTGAGGTAAAACCTCCACGTCTAAAACCGTCAAAGTCCACTGCTGAACATAGACTTCCTTCATATATTTCATCATAGGAATATTTACCATAGTTGGAGAGTTCGCAGCAACAGTCTTTTTTATTGTATTAATTAAGTTGTTAATTGTTATCAGGAAGATGTTACAGTCCGTCTTCTGCTTCATTTTCCCTTTGTCGCCTTTTACGAAACCCATGGGATGATATAGGGTTCGTACATTACCGCTACACGGTCATTAACATCACGTCTAAGAAATTAACAAAATTTCAAAGACATATCCACGAACAGACACTGGGATAGCGCCACGGATCTTTCTACTACACTGTTAAACCCTTCTTAAAATTACTATATGTACTATGTATGACGTAGTTCTTATCTTTCTCCTGTAGGTATTTTCTTTCTTCTTCTACTCTATCTCTATCTGTATATGTATGTTATGCATGTATATACTTTCATATGAATTTACTTTGACATTACAAACAAACACTTCAATTTTATTGATTTGTATATATAGATATAGATGAAGTTTATATGGAAGCCATAGAGCGCGAACCCTACTTACACTTGTCCGGTTTTTTTGTTAATATGCAGCTGTACTTTTGTAGATTTTGTAAACGATATAGCGAATGTTAGTGTAAATAATAAATTTAAGACAAAGTTACTAAACTTAGTTTAGTTTCGAGCGTAGGCTTATATGATCTATTTGTTATATAAAATTGTTCACAGCTTTAGGGTGGCCCAAGACCACCCCAGCAGCACCATAATCTACTGCACCTAGTTTTGCTTAATTTAAAAATTAAGCTTTTTTAATTTACCAATTTAATTTAAAATTTTAATCTAACCGATATAGTAGTTATGCTTCCACACTAGGTATAGCCTTTATAAATTTTGGCCATAACCTATAATTCTTTTTAACATACATACATAATATATATACACTCACGCCTGTCACCCAGAGGGGTAGGCAGAGACTACAGACTTCCATTTGGCACGATCCTGACACACCTCTCTCGCCTCCTTCACATCCATATACTTACGCATACATGCTCGTCGGTTAAGGGTACTCCTAATTTGGCCCGTTTTCAATAAATTGCCAATTTGGTCGATAAATTTTCGCCCAGGACGTCCCTTTCCGACTCTGCCATTCACTTCTGCAACATAAATTTTTTTTGTCACTCTTTCCTCATTAATTCTTTCCACATGACCAAACCACCGAAGCATTCCTTTCTTAATCCTGGTCACAACACCATCTTGCAAACCACACTCTTCTCTTCAATCCTTTTTTAATTTCCCAATTATTTCTTTACTAAAAGAGTCAATAATGTATTGACAAAATAATTAATATGACTTTCAGGGAGCAGTTCCCCGGAGGTGAAGCGCGCCACAATTGTAGGCAACCCGATGTACTCGCGCACTTCAACCGACGCGCCAGTGGAATCGCTCGGGCTCGACGACCTGCACATGGACTACGATCAAATCATGCACTATTTCCACAACCTTAAGGTATAAACCGCCACCCACCGTCCCACCATGCTTCTAGTGTAGACGTTGCTGTGTCGCTTGCATCGATACCACGTCACGTAATATTATCATATCCCCTTCTTATCCTATCTCGATGTTTGATGTAATTTCTTATGAAATATAGAGCCTGAATTTTGATGCATTTAAAATTATATAACATAGTGTTTTATATGAGTACATTTTATACAATTTTACACTATTACGCCCCGCAGTATTACAATTCTATAGGTAGGTAGAATCGCCGTAGCTCTTTGTATCTTAAAGCGTGTGCCTACTTACGCTGTATTCGCGTACTTACAACTTGCAAACCATCCATTAATTTAATCACGTAGATAGCTAGACAGCAGCCAATTATATCACTAGCATAGTTAGTAGAGTGTGGAATTTACTAAATCTGTAATTTATAATAGACACAGCAACAGAAATCTGATTTATTAAAAATCTTTCGCAGGAATCAAACGCCTGAGTAGAGCAGATCATTGCAAAGATCCGGCAGATATTGTCTACGTTTAATTATCAGCATATCATCAAAGCTCCTACAATCGACGTATACAATGCACCCACTAATACGTCCGGGGTCGCCGGAATCGAGGATAATACCGTTGACACGGACAATAACAACACGTACTCTTCAATTGACACACACATTTACGAAAACATTAAAGATGGCCACAAAGTCGCACCCACACAAATGCTCTGCGATTCAATCGCTCACAAAAATAATTTCATGAAAAGACAGTTGAACTTTTTGTTGGAACATTTGAGCGAGGCCTACGAATAAAATGTTGTCGTTGGTCAAGGTATTATCCTCTATACAATATGTGTCTAAAATGGATCCTTGCAGTGATCGAAAGCAAAATTATACAAAATGGGTGCGTTCGGCAGAAAAAAGCGCTAGCAAGCGCTTGTAAGCAAAATGGCGATCGTAAGCGGTAAGCGCTGTCAAATCGTAAGTAGCTATTTTCCTCCAGGACACGATGTTAGTTTTAACCGGGGAATCTAACCTAATTTAAATATATGTTTGTAAAGTATTCATATTAAAAACTTACCAATCATGAGTTTTTAATAGCATGTATATGTTTATTCATGTCATTATATTACTTAAAACTAATATTGCACAAAACAACTTATAAACTCTACTTCAAAACAAACAAATTAAATAAGCAAAATGGCGGATTGTGTCAGCGCTACTGAAGTAGCAATCGTGTCCTGGCCGAAAACTATTTTAGCGCTTATAAGCGCTTGCTAGCGCTTTTTTCTGCCAAACGCACCCAATGTAAACCGTTTTATACTTAAACTAGCCTTAAACGTATTTAATCTAGTCATCTACAAAGCTGCACATTATTTATGTATTTAATAATGATTTATCGTGTGCATTTAGTTAATTAATACTCGTAATTATGTCATTAAAATAAAAGGTAATTGTATACACGCTGTTTGTGTTTTGTCTATATATTGATATAGGTATCTTATTACAGGCTAACTAAGATTATACCTACTTACCTATAAATACGCGAGCCTTTAACTGTTATCGCTAGTATATTCCAATACCAAATATAACATTTTGCATTTTTTCAACACCTGTACATAGTTCCCCACTAGAAATGGTAAAACACGCTACCTCACTTATATGTATATATGTCTTAACTTAAAGCTTAGCCAATACTTATGTATATTTCCAAGCATTGATAAATTAATCAAATCAATTATTAATATGTGTTAATTGTTAATCACCTCCATTCAACTGCAAAGATATATTTCTTTAATTTATCCCTCTTATCAAAATACAATGGTGTAAAGACTGCGTAATACCAGTGCTTAGGAAGGTACTCTATAGTTAGTATTTACATAGCATAAGAGAGAACTAGTCAAATATTTTTATCTATGAGCTAATTATTTTGCAACTATCTCAAAAAAATCGAGAATCCGTAATTTAAAAGCTTACGGTTTGACATTCCTTCTTTATTACCACCGTGTCTCTTTAATGTGTTTTAATATAGTTTTAATGTTAAAGCAGAAAATTAGGCCTAGTTGAAACACCATCTAAAGAGATGACAGTCTTTTGTCTAACAATTAAAATTAAAAATAGCTTTGTCAATTGTCATATTACATATATACTTGACTAACATAAATTATGATGGACTTGTGATAAAATGTCTGCTAGGGATTGATTTTATATGCGGTCGATTTTATAAATAAAAAGCCATATCATATAAAACCTAGCGCTTGTATTATAACATGTAAACACTAATATTAATTTATTGAGAATGTATATTGCATTTATTGGTAAGTTAGCTCCATAGGCTTTGTAAATATTGTTATGACGTTATATAATTTATAGGTATTGATGTGGAGGCGACGATGCAAAAATAGATTGAATTTGTGGTAGAGTCGCTTGACATAACAGCGTAGAGGTGCACTCAGTAATATGAGGTTCATGTCTGTTACAAACGTACATTAAATAGTCAATGTTTTGATCTTGTCTTTGTGTATTAATTAATGTGACCCTAAATAATTATTATAGTTACATTTACAATAAAAAACTGTCAAAATGTATAATTGAGCCAGTAAGTTGAGCAGTTCTTGAAATCACTAAATATTTTAACGATGTTAAACTGTTCAACCTTATTCTAGTAATACTGTTGTAAAACTTGATACTCCTTGATATAGTGTGTTGTTTGGCTTTTGTCGTTAGGTTAGAAACGACTCAGAATACTAAGTACATAATGCAGTAGTCTTTGTTACTGATACATTTGTTTTTGTTGAGTTTTTGCAATAATATATTAAAAAGATGTTTATTAACAATTATTGCTACAAGGTTTATATACATGTACGCAAACAGAGGCTTATCACGAAAATCCTTTCATAAAATGTCAAATATAATAAACCATTATTAAATCTGTTATTGTTTTATTCATAGAAAATTATCTACCTTTACATTTAATTTAAATGAAAAGAGAACCACACCTACCGAAATAGGAACGGCGATAATATACTCTTCGCTTTTGCTTCAGTTACCAATATTTCACTTATTTTTATTAAAAACGGAAAATGTCGTATGTGAAGAAAAATATACTTAATATAATATTTTATTTTTATTTATTTAGACGAAATTTTTATTTAGACCCTTTATTCTCTGATAATACGCAATAACGTTTAAGAATAAAGAAACTTTTGTCGACCGAACGTCGCACACTTACTTCGTGCTGGACAAGTATGCACGCAGCGATGAAGGGAGCGGTAAAAGCCTTTTAGCGTAAGAAAACCTTGCCCTAACCACTACAATAAAAACAAATAAGAATAACGAAAACAATAATTTGTAAAAAAAAAATTAAAAAACGATAATAAAAAGTAAACTGCGAATTCAAATTTGAACAATTCGACTAATTAAATTCTAAAACCATTTCCTCTCACCGTACTGGGTGAACGAGATGCGAATAATGTGCGAGTGAGACGGTAAGAGATTTTCGGGTTTAGTCGCCATTTATTGCCGCCGCCGTTCTTTATTGGTCGCGAAAAACTATGGGTGCGTTTGGCAGAAAAAAGCGCTAGCAAGCGCTTACAATCGCTAAAATAGTTTTCGGCCAGGACACGATTGCTACTTCAGTAGCGCTGACACAATCCGCCATTTTGCTTATTTAATTTGTTTGTTTTGAAGTAGAAAATATAAGTTGTTTTGTGCAATATTAGTTTTAAGTAATATAACGACATGAATAGACATATACATGTTATTAAAAATTCATGATTGGTAAGTTTTTAATATGAATACTTTACAAACATATATTTAAATTAGGTTAGGTTCCCCGGTTAAAACTAACATCGTGTCCTGGAGGAAAATAGCTACTTACGATTTGACAGCGCTTACCGCTTACGATCGCCATTTTGCTTACAAGCGCTTGCTAGCGCTTTTTTCTGCCAAACGCACCCAATGTATATCAATATCAATGTGATGTGTCGTTTTGTTTTGTTTACTATAAATCACTGCAATCGAGATTTTTTAACATTCGTTTTTTATGGAACTTTATGATTTAAATTATTATTTGCGTAGTATATTTTTATATTATTAAGATGTCTTCATCGTACTCAGTAAAATTATTACATATTATGTCATAATTAATCCATTTAAATATCATAATTTCGGAACTTAAATTATTACTAAATAATTTTTCATTTAGTATTTCTTAGGTATGACCAGTGCCGGATTAACCACATAATAAGAGTAGCGATTGCTACGGGCCACGCGCAAAAGGGGGCCCCACGTATCCAAGTCCAAGCATCAAGCATCCCATCATCGCCTGAGCGTACTTTTTTAAGTGAAACTTATTAAAACGGTATATTCAATTTACTTGACGTCACATAAATGCGAAACGTTACATTTAATGACATCCGGTAACCGATTATTTCGAAAATAAAACACAGAATTTCGTACAATAAACGCATAGGTTTCAACACCCAACACGCCGAATAGCTCGGTTCTCATACTACTTAACAAGGATCTGTTTACGGCTTTGCCTTGGCAGATGGTCTACACAACTGGTCATTTTGCGCACGCCAGTGGCTGGTTCACACATTTGCCGCCAGTAGGCTATTTAAATTTTGCCGCCCCTACTGACTTCTACAAGTCGATACCCTGGTTCACAATCATATGCATTACAATTTATTTTTTCAATTAAATATACAAGTTGTAAGTGTAAACATCGTTATCCTTGAAACCAGTGGTTTGATTTCACTTATAGAACGTAAATTAAATGAAAAATAACAACATTTTTTTTAGTAAAATCTTAATTTTTCCTTAATTCCTCAAATTTGCCTGTCCTAAGCCAGGATGAATTTACGAAGGAAAAATAACATCACAGGTTGTGTACCTATTGTGTTTTTATTGGAACGTTGTGTAGGTAGCTAGCGCGGGCGGTGATCTTTACAGTGATTACGTCACTCGGGCGCATAGGGTATCCATGAATTTACGGACGGTGTCGGACAGAAACTTTTTAAAATTTATAAAAGATATCTTTTTTTTAATTCGGATAAATATTTTTATATTAAAGCCAACTACCTACGGTTTTAGTGACAACCGGTGTTTACACTTACACCTTGTATACTATAGTCTTGATTGATCATGTGTAGTGATTGTGAACTAGGATATCGACAACATCGACAACCCAAATATTTAGTTAAGATTGCACAATAAATATTTTCTGGGTATAATTCTGAGCTCATAAAAAGCTCAATCATGTTCAGGTATCAGGTATCAGTAATCAGGTAAGGTATGATTTAATACTACTTCAAACTGTATATAAATATTATGGTTGTAACATGAATGGCTCAGCTCGACCGGAGAAGGATCCTACACTCACAGAATATCAGCGTAAAATAGCACCTCAACGCTGCTGTGTTTCGTATGATGAGTATAGAGAACCGGAAATCCTTTAACTGGAAACGAGACATTCCATCCTAGTCCGTAGTGGT